CAAATCCAAATTATTTCTAAATAAAATTATGTAGATAATAAATATCTTCAAGTCTTTTTTTTTCTCTCAGCAATATAGCTTGGTTATGTTAACAGTGATAGAGCCCTGTTAAAAAACAAGGAAGAACTTTTTAATTAGTATTATACTGTGTTAGTTTACTTACAAAATGCCCTAACAAAGTACCATAGGTTTACATAGTGGAAATTTGTTTTCTCAAAGTTCTTGAATTTTGAATTCCAAGATATAGGTATTGTAGGGTTGATTTCTTCTTAGGGCCCTGTGAGAGTGTTCCAATCTTCCCTGACTTGGAAATAGCATATTCTGCTCAGTTCTTTATGTGTTCCTCTCTTAGTACATTTGTTTGTGTCCTGATCTCTGTGAAGGACAGCAGTCAGGTTGGATGAGGACACACTTCAGTGTTTTCATTTTCAACTTAATTATCTCTACATTTGTCTGCAAATACAGTTATAATCTAAGAAATTGCATTTTTGGACTTCAACATCTGACTTTGGGGAAAGCATAGTTCATCATAATAAATACCATGTGCAAGTAAGCATTACTTTTATTAGCAGTATACAATGGGTCTTTCTTATATTTTAAAATTAAGTGTTGCTTCACATCACCTAGTTCATACATTATTATATACTATTATATGGTTGAAGATACACTCAGGTTAGCTCTACTTGACTTATGATATGAAATCATAGTGAGCAGTTGGAGACCACTTATGTTAATACTGAATTATCAGTGTAGTTCAAAATTAGAAGAAAAGTAAAAATTTGATATTTCACTGTGGTAGTTATATGTGAACCAAAAGTTAGGAAGAACAGAAATTTAACTTTTTGTTTAATATCTGCTTTAAGTTAGATCCTTCATATGGCACTTGAATCTATGCATTATAAAATATCTTCTATTATATATTATGTGTGTATTCTACATGTGGGAAAGTATACTGCAGTGATTCCTCCAGTCATGTGGTTAGAAATGGTGCAGTGGAGATTTGAGCTGTTCATTAAGTCCATGGTCTGTGTGCTTTTTATTCATTAATGTACACTGTATAGGTGAAAAGAACGTGTGTTGTAGGTAGAAGTAGCCATGAGGGCAGTGTTTGAGATACATAGAATATGCAAGTGGCAAGCTATGAATTGTCAGTTAAAATGGGCATTTTTAGTTATTTGACTTGAAAAACTGTATAATTAATTTAAAAAGCATAACATTTATAAAGTTGGTGACATTTTGGAAAACAGGCCTTTTTCTGGTAGATGGACAAGTATATCCTTAAGTAACATTGAGCCAATAAATGATTTGTGATGTATTTTTATAAAAGGTAAATTAAAAAAAATTTGGAAGAATGGCATTTAATTTACATTTCCTACTAATGCCATTCCCAAAGCATTGTTTCAGTACTAAGATCATCATGGAACATTCTCTTTATTTGGAGTAATTTTTCAAATTTGAGTCTTTTTCAAAATGGTATTGTTTTAATAAAAAAAATACTTTTAGAAATGACAACATTTAAAGGATGAATTAAACATTGTCTAAGTCAGAATCCTGGAGGTTTTCGTTTCTTGCATTCTCTCCCTGTGTTATTCTCTAGCTAAGCACTGTTGGTATCCATCTCTATTGCTATTTTAGTTCTTCAGTACTGTGTATTTTTCTTCCCTATCTCCTCTCCTCCTATTCCTAATGCTTTTCTTCCTTCCTCCATATCTTAAAGCAATATATGTATGTCATTTAAAAAGTAATCTAAAAAACGAGTTTCCTCAAGAACACTTTTGTACACATAGAAGTACTCCACACCTATTAATCACCTTTTTTATGGTCCTCAGCGGCATTGCTTTTGAAGTGCTTTTCTCTTAATCCAGTCTTAACTGGTTTTGCAGGCCAACTGGGACTTGGTGCTGGGTTGCAAACCTCTTGTGTCTTTTGGTTAATGATTCTTACCCTTGGTTGATTCGATGGCATGTTTTTTAGAAAGGAATCCATAGGAAGTAAATCTGGTTATTTCTGTCCTAATATTTGTTGAAAAGTTTGTGTATAAACTTTATGGTTGAAAATTAGTTTCAGTCTGAACCTTTAGAGCATTATTTGTTTTCAAGCTTTAGTCTTACTCTTGGTCTTTGGTATATGACCTGTTCTGTTTTAGCCCTGTCAACTGGTGTATCTTTGGATGTTGTTTAAATCTTCATTGTTCTGAAATTTTGTGGTGATATTTCTTGGTACATCATTTTCTTTGTTTATCATGTTGTTTAAGACCATCATGTTGAAGACCAGTTCAACCCAGTGATCTGTGTCCTCCTATCTAGGAAATTTAAAACTCCTACCAAGTTTTTTTCTTGGATTATTTGTTTAATAACCTACTCCTGCTTTTTATTTTCCTTGTATGAATTTGATCAAATGGATATTGTACCTTTGAAATTAATTTTCTGATAACCCCATCTGACCTATTTAGTGTATTTTCTCTTTTTGTTCTAACTCTGGAGTTATTCATTCAACTTAGTATTTTGGTTGTTTTTAACTGTATTTAGTAGTTTTGGCTATCACGTTTTGAACTCTGTACCTTATTTTTCTGAACATTATGTTTTACAAAGTTCATTCTTATATCTCTAAATACACAGATTTCTTTTCTAATATATATTTTTTAAAGTTTATTTTTATTTTTATTGGAAAAGCAGATTTAGAGAGAGAAGGAGGATCAGAGAAGAAGGTCTTCCATCTGCTGGGTTACTTCCTAAATGACCACAATGCTGGAACTGATCCAGTCTGAAGCCAGGAGCCAGTAGCCTCCTCCTGGTCTCCTACAGAAGTGTAGGGTTCCAAGGCTTTGGGGCATCTTCTTTTGCTTTATCTATGTGTTGTCTCTTTTCCTAAGGATTCTTTTACTTTGCTATTTTTTACTTTTGTCTTTTGATAATAGGTTCTCTTATAATTCCTTATACTTATTATTTGTTTATATTTAAGAGTGAAGTACTAAAATGCTTACAAGCTCTATGTACTCGGTTAGAATTTAAAAATAATAAAATTTACTGTGTGTACTGCTCTGATCACTTGTTCAGGTCGTACCTATCTAATTTGCCCAAGGTGGAGTAAGTGGCATTCAATTTTTGTATTTTAGTCTAGAACTTCATCCTTTGCTCTATGGTTGGCATCCCAGAAATAAGTTTAGTTTTATTAATTTATTTTTCCCGTTTCCTCTTACTGCTTATCTGCTTTTTTCCTTATCTTTGTTAATAATAGTCTTTATAGGTCACATTCCAGATGTGTGACAGAAGCTCATTTGGCTGAATTTGACTGTCCCCCAAATTTTTGTTCATTGTAGAGAACTACTGATTTCTTCTTCCAGTCCACTCTCCTTTCCTTCATTTCTATGTGTCTGTACCTGAAATTTACTAGTTATTATTTTAGACTCTGAATTTTTCATCGTTGCTATTTTAAGTATCTTATTATGTATCCCAATATAATTTAACAATTCTTTTAAAATAAGATTTGTTTCTCTCTTTTTGACTATTAGATATTTCAAAAATGGCGGAACTCTTTATGGAATGTGAGGAAGAAGAACTGGAGCCATGGCAGAAGAAAGTAAAAGAGGTTGAGGATGATGATGATGATGAGCCCATCTTTGTTGGAGAGATATCAAGTTCAAAACCAGCAATTTCAAGTAAGCATTTACTTTTAGTGAAGCCACTTTTTATAAGATACTGTTTCCAAGGGGGGAGAAAATGTGTTTGGAGTCTTAAAGGAGGAGTAAGCCTTTAAATATCAGATGTGAAGAAAGAGACAGGTACTGAGATCAATTGGTGACTTTGGAGATGGTTTGAGATCAGAAATCATAATTTTTGTGAAACTGAGTCAACCTGTTAATCTACATTTTTCACTTTTATTCACTTAAGCACAGAATAAAGAAAAGGAAGAATTTGAAATACTTTGCCAAAAATTTCAAATATACTAATTAAGTTTGTGTGAGTCTCAGATGGGAGGTCTCACATATAGACCTCATCACATTGTCTTTGTGTGTCTGCAAAATTTATAGACTGTGAGTGCACAGTCTCTTGCATGTGTACCAAAAGGCAACAAGGATTGGGTTACATCCATCTTTTAGCAAATCCTATTTATATTCAGAAAAGGACGCTGTATACAACCGTTGTACTTGGATGATGTAACAATTCACACATTTACATCATCATGATGGTTAGGTTTCACTTAGAATATTTGGACTTAAAATTTTTATAATGTTAAAAAACAGGCACTAACAACATGGGGTAAAAATGTCTAAAATTGTATATAACAAAATTCAGAGAGATAATGTACAAATTTCAAAGGAAAGGAAAATATATGTATATGTATTGTTTCCTTGTAATTTTCATGTTTGTACATTGGTTTTAAGCCAAGAGAATATACCAAACTATATGGTGTAACCAACATACTATTGTGTTATTACTTATCATACTTTTGAAATATGCTTAAATACTTTAAAATTTTCTGCCGGTCTGATCTTGCTTCTCTTATCTGTAGATTGTATGGTGCTTTCAATCAGTTTTATCCAGAGGCAGAGTCATTATTTAAGCAATTGATTTTTCAGTACTGGTTACTTAAGACAGATTGATAATCTCTCCTGGTGTGTTATATGGTGAACCACATGTATTATAAAATGATCAAGCATAATATCTTGCTTTCTAGTGAGAATAGAACATAATGTTATTTTCTCTTAATTACTGTTTCTTAGTTACTGGTTATTTTATACTGGAATGCTAACATGTTGTAATATTATTATTCAGAATCTCAAGTTGAATTTGTACTGATTGTGGGTGAGTATAAACAGTATTCAGCTAGAACACCAGCTGTTAGTTTTGAAATAATTCAATCAACAAGGGGATTGGCCACAGTAGAATTCATTTTCTGAATTAATACAAAGAATTTTAAGTGGCCTTATTGTTTTTTGTATAATCTATAAAATATTTTGACATGGGATGTAAAGCTGTCATAATGGAGGATAAGCTTGTATTTTATAGGTTAGTATCATTAAAAATTATTAAACCAGTGTTCCTTTGATGTCACTAATATTTAATCTTGAAAGGTTTAGTATAAACAGTGTCAAATTGAGCAGACTTTTGGGAAAGATTTATTTATTTCTATTTGAAAGGGAGATTTATAGAGAAGAAAGAGAAAGATCTTCTGTCTCCTGGTTCATTCTACAATGGCTGCAGTCATCAGAGTTAAGTTGATCCAAAACCAAGAACTGGTAGCCTCCTTTGGGTCTCCCATGTGGAAGCAGGGGCCCAGGTGTCTGGACCATCCTCTGCAGCTTTCCCAGGCAACAACCAAGGAGCTAGAGGGGGAGTAAAACAGTCAGGGCATGAACTGGTACCCTTATGGGATGCCAACACTTGCGGTGGAAGATTAGTCTATTAAATTATTATGCTGGCCCCTGGTTGAGCAGATTTTTCTCTAATAAGTCTACTATAGTGCTTAATTATTAAGCACAGCATTGTCATTTCCAGAAACTGTTGTACTTTAGGTGAGCTTTTATTATTATTATTGTTATTATTATTAGGAAAACAAGAAAGAAAGTAGTATTTATTGTTAGGCAACACCATTAATCTAATTTAATATCTTAAATTTTAAAAATAATATAAATATATTTTCTTTATTTTATGATACTGTTTAATAGGCATTGAGTTTTCTCCTCCCTCTCCTCCCCCATTGTTGTCAGATGTCCATCGTACTGCCATTGAGGTGTCCCCAAACAATGTAGGGGCTTATCTGTTATTTTGCTGTGGGACCATCTTTGTCTTGCAAGTATGGGGATACACTTCTCTCTGTTTCTGCCTATGGACATATTTATTTCTGCTGCACTTCCATTATACCTCCCCCTTAACGTATAGTCCACCTTGGGTTGAGAGGAGAAAAAGAAAGAAAAAATTTAAATAAAATGGAATAGTGAATCTTCATCTCCATGGTGTTGTCAAACTCATAGCAGGGGCATCAGTGTGATGCTAGGGTGGTACAAAAAAGTGTCCAATATCTTCCTGCAGAAATTAATGCTAGCATATGACTATGTAGGTTCAAATGGAAGTACAGAACGAACTAGATAATCATTACCCATGGATAGTAGTACTAACAGTGAAAAGAGGGATACTAAAAGTCTTAGGTAATCATATGCAATCAGTCTATCGTGAATTGTTGATTAATAGGTTACATCACAAGATCTTATTGTGTGTAGTACAGACAGCTTGGAAATGTGATAAGATATGATTTTTAGATTTGACATCGTGTTTTCTTGTATTAAGACAAACATATGATATCTGACCTTTTGGTATTGGCTCATTTCCCTTAGCATAATAGTTTCCACGCGGGCCCATTTGGTCACAAGACATGTATATATATTTTTAATAATGGAGTAGTATTACGTAGAGTAGATAAACCGTAGTTTCCTTATCCAGTCTTCTGTTGGTGGGCATTTTGGTTGCTTCCAAGTTTTAGTGATTTTTGATTGTACTGCTGTGAACATTGGGGTGCATATTGCTTTTTCACGTAACAGGTATTTTTGATATATTCCTAGAAGTGGTATTGCTGTGTCATATGGTATGCAGATTTTTAGTTGTCTGAGTGTTCTCCATACTGATTTCCATAGAGGCTGCACCAGCCTGCAATCCCACCAGCAGTGGAATAGGATTCGTTTTTCCCCGTATCCTCGCCAGCAAGTGTTGTTGGCCATTCTTACTGGAATTGAGTGGTATCTCAGTGATGATGTTTTTATTTGGATTTTCCCTTATTATCAGAGAACTTGAGCATTTTTTCCTATGCCTGTTAGCCATTTGGATTTGTCCCTTGGTAAAGTGTCTGCCCGTTTCCCATGCCCATCTTGACTGGTTTGTTTGTTTTGTTATTTTGGTTGTTTTTGAGTTCTTTATATATTCTGGAGATTATCCCCTTGTCTCCTGTGTAGTGTGCAAAGATTTGTTTTCCCCATTCTGTTGGTTGCTTTTTTACTTTGTTGATTGTTTCCTTTGCTGCGCATAAGCTTTTTAGTTTGATGTAGTCCCATTTGTTTATTTTGGTCTTGACTGCCTTTGCTTTTGGTGATTTTTCTAAGAAGTCAGTGTCTCTAGCTGTAGCTTGCGGAGTGTTTCCCACTTTTTCTTCCAAAACTTTGATGGTTTCTGGATGTAGTTTAGATCTTTTATCCATTTAGATTTGATGTTTGTGTATGGTGAAAGGTGTGTGTCTAGCTTCTTATTTCTGTATGCTATCAACCAATTGTCCCAACAGCATTTATTGAAGAGATCTTCCTTTTTCCTTTGATTGTCATGTGTTTTCTTGTTGAAGATGATTTTTCTGTACCTGTGTGGAGTCCCTTTTGTTGCTTCTATTCTACTTCATTGATCTTCCTCTCTGTCTTTGTGCCAGTACCAGGCTGTTTTGGCAATTACCGCCCTATAATATGTCTGAAGGTCTGGGACTGTGATGCCTCTCACTAGGTTCTCATTCTTCAGGATGGTTCTGACTATTCGTGGTGTTTTGTGTTTCCAATTGAACCTTTGTGTTATTTTTTTCCAGCTCCATGAATTATGTTCTTGGTAAGTTGATTGGGATTGTGTTGAATGTATATATTGCTTTTGGTAATATGGACATTTTGATGATATTGATTTTGCCCATCAGGAACATAGTATATTTCTCTACTTTTTAAAGTCTCCTATTTTTTTTTTTAGTGTTTTGTAGTTTTCTTCATAGAGATCTTCCACATCTTTAGTTAGGTTTATTCCTAGGTATTTCATTTTCTTCTCTGTTACTTTGAAGGATACCATGCTGGTTAGTTGTTTTTCTGCCTTGGAGTTATTTGTATACACTGTGGCTGTTGATTTTTTCTCTCAAATATTCTTTATTATTATTATTATTATTTTGTGATACAGTTCCATAGGCCTTGGGATTTCTCCTGCTCCCACTCCAAGTCCCCTCTCCCCTACTGAGTTCCCTATATTATTACAATAGTATAATTCTTCATTAACAGTCATATGTCCATCATTGTGGGTGTGGACAATGGCAAGAGTCCAGCATCCTGTTGTCAAGATATAGTTAACAGTTTCATCGGTAGTTCATCTCTGATCTGGAAGTAAAGATACCCACTGTATTGTATCTTCACATCTGGATATGATAGTATCTGTTAAACAATTACTATACATCCCCTTAAATGAGAAGCTGTGATACAAAATCAACAATAGGAAGAAATAGAAATTTACGATGTCATGCTCACATATACCTTACTAGGTAGGACACGAAAATAAGTTGCTCCTTACTGGGGTATTGAAGATTTCTCTGCATACCGCTTCTAAAACGGTTCTGTGCCTCAACTGTTGAAATATGCGTTGTTAAAGTTATAAGCCAGTTTGGACTAACCTAAAATCTGCCAAGTTCAGTAAAAATTATGCTTCAATACAATAAACTGCTAAATACAGAAATGAAAATAGATGTGAGACAGTTGAATAGTATCCTATAGCCATTTTAAGGTGGATAGAAGCCGGTTGTATACAAACTAAAATTGGAAAATGTCAATGAAGTACTCACAGGATGTGGTTAAAAACTCCCATTTTCTAACATATCAGTCACTCAGTACCATGTCAGTTAACTCCATAATTTTGTAAACTGTTGTTGATGTTATGTTATAGCTTTTACTTGGTTGGAACGATATTCTGCCAGCTCTGCTTTTAGATCAGAGATGGTCTCCCCAAGAAACAGTTGAATTGATCTGGACAGTAAGATGCTGGGATCTATGCATGGTAGATGCTTGCAATGAAAGAAACATGACTGGATTTGAACTGTAATACTGCAACAAGGTGGAGTAATCCACCATGGGGGGAGGGTATGGGGAGGAGTTGGGGGAACCTCAGAGCCTATGAAACGATGTCATAAAATGAAATATAATAAAGAAAAAAAAAAGAAATTTACAATGTCATGAAGTTCTCAAGAAGTGTTGATAGTTCAGCAGTCCTGAATTGCTGTTGATCCCAACACTCCAGTTGTGATGAAATCTCTCCAGAATCCACTGGCTGCTATGGTCAACCTTAGAGTCTCCATCTGCCCAGGTATTCATGGCCAGTGCTTGGTTGGAGCAGCTGATCAATTTGTTCTGTCCTCTGTCCTCTGCCATAGTACCAGGCATCCTCTGGAGGCTCCAGTGTACTACCATATCCTCCATGAGCATTTGGATATGCTGTCCACTGTTACATCTGGGCCACTGAGGAAGCCCAGCTCTGACATATGCACTTCATGTTCAGACCATGGAACCTGCAATTCTTCCCATGGTTGTGGTTCTAAGACCAGCGGTTCAGTTGGTAGGGAATTGCCAAAGAAACCTCATCTGATTCCATCCCAGACTTGATTCTTGTGTCTTTGCCAGTACAGGGTACGGCACAGTCCATCACTCAAATCAGCCTATGCACACTCTGGTAGTTGCAATTGCTGGGTCAGTTCTGTCTCCAGACACGTGTTTTACGCAGACCCAAGGGTTGGAATCCAGCCCAATCCTGCCTACCATATACTTGGCCTTCAGATGAATCTCAGTGTGAGTTGCAGCCTAGTTGAAATGAGCCGCAATAACCCCCACCAAGGCTACCCTCTACCTTGGTTCCTGTGCTTGCCAGCATATACAGCTGATTTGTCCTGTCTGTCCCATATCCCATTCGATTCTTGTACATGTCAATGGGCATTGAAGCCCAGTTCATCCCAACTAGCCCTGCTATCCAGTCCACACTGGTTCCAGTGGGTGCCACCATCTGTCTAGCCTTGTCTGTGCCTGACAAAATTTGCCCCGTGCCAGCATCTGCCAGCTGATGCTGCAGCAAAACCCAACCTACCCACACCCACTCTGGCTTATGCATGAGTCAAAAGGTACAGTCAGCCCAGCATGATTTTTCTCTGATCCAACTCACATGTAGGTCATCAGATATTGTGGACCTGCCTGGCCTGGTCTGTCCCCATTCCAGCTTTCATGCTCACCAGTGGAAATAGTGGGAATAGTGGCCCAGTAGGAGGACCCCTGCAGCCCCATCACTGGGTCCATCCTCACCACCCCCTGGGTTTCACAAGTTTGGATACTGAGGTCCAGTCTGGCACAGCCTGCCTCACCTAAGCATTTGCCAGTGGGTGCTGTAGCCTGGCCGGGCCTGGCCCACCCCCAATTCCAGCTCATGCTGGTGGGGGCTACAGCCTAGCCCAGCCCTGCAAGCCCCCAGTCTTCGCCCTAATGTGGACTGGCTGGTAATGCGACCCATCCGGCCTGACCCACACTCCATTCTGGTGCTCAGTTTGCCAGTGGGTGATGTGAACTGACCCAGCCTGGCCTACCCCCGAACTAAGCCAAATGTATGCTAGTGGGTACTGTATTTTGGCCTGACCTGGGCTGCTCTCCATCTTGGTTTTTTTCACTCACCTGCAGGGAGTGTGTCCCAACAGAGGAGTTTCCCAAGCTCCCCCATCAGGATTTCTTCCAATGCCAGATTTTGTGCACACTGGTGGGTCCTTGGGCCAGCCCTACTTAGTCTTGCTCCTGTCTCACAGGAACAGTGGCCTTTCCTGACCAGCCCTCACCCATTCTGATTCTTATTGTTGGGTGTTACTGCCCAGCCAAGCCTGGTCCACCCCAGACACAGCTAACGCATGGCTCAGCAAGGCAGAGACCTAGCCTAGCCCATCCTACACCCAACCTGGTTCTCATGAGCACCAGTGGGTCCTGGAGTGTAGCCTACTCTGGTGCATTCCAGACCCAGCCCACACCCATCCCGAGGGATCCTGCAGCCATATCCAGATCAGACCACAGCCCCCACCATGGCCCTCACACTCACCATTGGGAATCACACCCCAACCAATGTCCCTTTAGCTCCAAACCAGGCCTGTTCCCATCCACAGATCTTGTGTGTGTCAGTGGTTACTCTGACCTAGTCTGGCTTAGCACCCCCATCTGTCTTAGCCTTTGCCTTTGGATGCTGCAGCCTCCTCTGACCTAGCCAGTCTCCAGTCCTAACTCTTGCTGGCGGGTGCTAAAACCTGTCCTTGCTCAGTCTGTGCCCATCCCTGGCTCATATAAACCAGTAGGTATGATACCATAGCTTGGCATGACCTGTACTCCAGCCTGGTTTCTTTACTCGCCAGTGGGTTAAGGTTGTTTGACCCTGCCTGGCCTGCCCTCTTCCAAAACCAACCCACACGGATGGGGCTGCCAACTGATGGGGCTGTCTTGCCCAGCTTGCCCTGGGTCTGAACCATATGCTCATCAGTGGGAGCTCTGACTCTTTAGAGGAATTTCCCATGTTCCCCCACTCGGCCCATTCCCAGACCCAGATCTCACATGTGCCAGCAGGTATTAGGCCCTTGCCCAGCATAGCCTACCCCTCCATCTTCGCCTTTGTATGAGCTGGTGAATGTTGTGGGCTGGTCTGCCCCACACCCTGTTTTGGGATGCACATGCAGGTGCTGCAGCTTGGAATTGCTTAGCCTATTCTTAGCCCCAGTACCTGTGAGTGTTGGTGGGTCACATATTCACACCTAGTTCACCCCAGCTCTTGAACTAACCAGTGGGACTTGTATTTCCACAGGGTTGGGCCCACTTATTTCCCACAGAATTTACCCTGGACCTGGTTTTCTCACGTGTTTGTTAGTGTCATGGCCTTACCTAATATGACTTGTCTCCTGTTCCAACACCCAGTCAGATACTGGGATCTAGATCTGCTAGACAGGCCCCTAGCCATAGCTTTCATGTGGGGTGGCATGTGGTGGTCAATGATGCTCTGTGCTAACAAGCCCATCTCAGAACTCTTATGTGGACTGGTGAATCATTGTGACCCATACAGATCTTCCAGTCTCTCCCCTCCAAACCTCCAGGTCTCAGTCCCATGGCTTACCAGCAAGTATAATGGCCCTGTTGTCAGGTGTCCCCCGATTCATTGCTCACATACACATAAGGTGTCCTTATCCATGGATGTCTCTAGGCAGTAGTTTGTTGCCCCCAAGTCCCCAGAGCTCATTGGTGGGCAGTCAGCGGTCAGAGCCAAGATGGCCCCAGCTGCTCCAGGCAGGAGCCAAGATGGCTGAGTGCCTTGGTTGATTTTTGTTCATTTATTTTGTACTCTTTTTCTCTACCAAACTCTTGTGTAAGTTCTAGCAGTTTCTTCATCAAGTCTCTTATTTAAGATCATGTCATCTGCGAATAGTGATAGCTTGACTTCCTTGTTTCCAATTTGAATTCCTTTGATTTTTTTTCTTGTCTGATAGCTTTTGTGAATACTTCCAGTACTATGTTAAATAGAAGTGGTGATAGCGGACATCCTTGTCTGCTAAACTATAAGTTCAGTTTAGTTTACTTTTCTCTGATAACTTTTCTTGCTTGATGAAGTTCCCCATAATGAAATGTTATGGCTTTTAGAGGAGTGAATGGAATAAGGAGATAGCACAAGGATTTGACTTTGTGCCAAAGGAACCTGGATGTTTATACAAGCTTGTCATTAAAGGGAGGTTACTTCATTTGTAGGTTGTTGTTACATATATTTTTTGAAAGAACTTCAGAATGTATACTGTTTCTTTGCCATGCAGATATTTGGAATTATATTTAGTTAAATTTGTTATTATTTAATTTCTACCTTTTAGATTTTGAGTTACAATAAGAAAGTTTGTTCTTATTCCATACAAATTATGGCTGGTAATTTTTCTTTGTTCCTTTAGTAGATGTGTATGTGTCTAAACTTAAGTCAGTAATAATTTACATTCCATCCAGAAAACTACATGTTTTAATTTATGTTTTTTCGTTATCTTTGTGTTTATTTTCTTTCAACAATTAATTTTAAGTAAATATAATTTTTTGTAGATATTTTGAACAGAGTAAATCCCAGCTCATATTCAAGGGGAGTAAAGAATGGTGCAGTCAATCGAGGTATAGTATTATTATACTATTTTCATTTTAAAGTAAAGTTTAGATATAATTGATTATATAAAGTATATTGAATATATTATGTAATTTAAAAATACAGGTATTTCGGCTACATTCAAGCCCACAAATCAGCACTATGTGAATCCATCATCAAATCCTGTGACTCCTTCACCAGCAAATTTTCATCCTGAATCTAGATCTTCAAATAGTTCTGTTATTGTTCAACCTTTTACTAAAACTGTAAGTGTGTCTGAAACTACACAGTCGACTCAAAAATATTAGGTATTGTTTATCGGTATTAAGAATAACCATTTAAAATTTTGGATAATAATAGGTATCAGCATAATCAGCATCTGAAATGTTACCATCTTTTTCTTTTAAAGTGTTTATTTAATTAAAAGGCTAGAGTTACAGAGAGAGAGATCTTCCTGTCTCTGATTTGCTCCTCAGCCAGGATTGAGCCAGGATGAAGTCAGGAGACATGAGCTTCATCTTGAATCTTCTACGAGGGTGCAGGAGCCTATGCACTTGGAACTTGTTCTGCTGCTTTTCCCAGGCCATTAGCAGGGAGCTGGATTGGAAGTGCAACAGCTAAGACATGGAGTGGCACCCATATGGGATGCCAGTGTCACAAATGGCACCTTTAGTGATTATAATACAAGAATAGCCTTATTGCCATCTTAGTGATGGTTCAGCTAGTACTCAGGTAACAACTGCAAGAATTAACTACCCAGTCTGTTAACAAATACATGCTGAAGTAAGTATGGTACTGAGACCTAGACTATCAAAAACATAAACAAAAGTATAATCAGTCATGAACATTGCATAATGGCACTATATTTAAATTGCAAGCTGAGGTAAGTGTTCTTAATTGGGAAAATTTTTGAAAGGCATTGCAGCTCCCAGGGATACTCAAGATTCTTCCAATTGTGTAGAAATCAGTTGTCATCATAATCAGACTCACTGTTTGCTTTTTCTAGTGTAATAACTTTTGATGATGCCAGAGTAAAGGTGGGTTAGTTGTTATGCCTAATTGTGCAAGGACATCAAAATGTGCTGTATTTTCACATTAGTCATCTGTCTCACACTCACTAAAAATATCCTGGTTCTACTAAATTTCTTAATGAAGCATTGATGTTTTATTAATTTTGTTAGATCTCTGCTCTTTAATTATGTCTTTTGTAATATTCTGTGTGATGAAATGAGTACTCTCTGTCTGAGATATCATGACTACTTTGAAGAAAAGCACTGGTATGACTGAACTGTGACCTAAAATTACCTGCTTTTTAAAAATAGAACGTCATTTGTATTTGAAGAACTACTGACAAACTGTGTTGCATTACTGATTTATTTCTATGTATCGTATCAGTATTACCATAAATATATTTAGCTTAAAACAGTGCACAATTTACATTCTCAAAGTTCTGTAGGTCAGAAATCAAGTCATGGCTTAGCTGAATTTTCTGCTTTATTTCTCAGAAGATTGCATTCAAGGTGTGGTTTCTGAAGTTGTCTTATTGGAAGTTCTGCTAGAGAAAGAACTGCTTCCTAGTTGACATGGTTGTTGACAGCATTGTGTTCCTAAAAGTCTATCAGACTGACAGTCCCTTTATCTCTCTGGCTTGTATCAAGTATCTCTTTCCAGTGTGGCACTTTGCTTCCTTAAAAGGTAGCAAGAAGGAGTCCTTAATTAGATGTCATTATGGCCATGGGTAGTAAAATTATGTATATATAATTGTGTATGGCCTGTCACCTTTGGTGTTGATTTTAGGAGTATTCCTATGTCCTTACCACAATCAAAAACAGGGAATCACGTAACACCTGAATCAGGGACTAGGGATCATGGAGGCAATGTTAGAGTCTGTCTATTCTACATAGTTACCAAATCTTGAGTATCCAACAAAAATTTCCTCAAATTGAACAAAGGTTGCACCTGTTACTTCAAAAGAAAACTGATAAGATTATTTCTTTCTAATGATAAAGTTGAAATTGTTAAGCAAAAATTAGAGTTTTGGAAAATGTTTATCTGCTACTGAAATCTTAAGCACCTTGTCATTTTTAAGGTTTTTTTTCAGGTTAATAATACTAAAATATATGACTTATGATTGCTTATGAAATACTATACTATTGTAATAATATGGAGGAAACAAACTAAGGGGAGGGGATAGAGAAAGGGGTTAGGGAAATCCCAGAGCCTATGGAATTATACCATAAAATTAAAAATAAAATAGAGGGAAAAATATATGACTTATGTTGTATAATGAACTATATCAGCATTTGGAAAATACACCTATTCACAAAGACCAGTATTTTCCACATCGTCAATGTGTGTAAGATTGTGTTTGGGTAAAGTACTGTTTAAAGTGTAAGAGACCATTTCAGTGGAATAGTACAAAAAATTCAGGGGTATGAATTCAGATTTCTCATTGCAGCATTCAAAAAAGTACAAAATTTTGAGTTTTCATACAGATTAAAGTTGTATCTTAAAATTCTATTAGACTTTTTTTTTGCCTTTCTCAGTAATATATTGCTTTAGTGAAGCCTATTTTTCTTTATATTCTTCAATGAAAATTTTGAAATCACAAATAGGTAAGAATCTGTAGCAGGTTTTGATTAAGGTAGGCATTTAAGAGATTTGCAAAAATGCAAAACAGTGCTGCTCCACATTTACTGTTTTTCATGTGTTTTAAGTCACTTTTCTTTTTTTTAAAGATTTATTTTTATTATTTTTTTTTCATTTGGAAAGGCGGATATACAGAGAGGAGAGACAGAGAGGAAGATCTTCTGTCCGATGATTCACTCCCCAAGTGAGCCGCAACGGGCCGATACTATGCCGATCCGAAGCCAGGAGCCTCTTCCGGGTCTCCCACGCGGGTGCAGGGTCCCAAAGCTTTGGGCCGTCCTCAACTGCTTTCCCGGGCCACAGGCAGGGAGCTGGAAGGGAAGCGGGGCTGCCGGGATTAGAACCGGCACCCATATGGGATCCCGGGCGTGCAAGGCGAGGACTTAACCACTTGCGCCACCGCGCCGGGCCCTTAAGTCACTTTTCATAAAAATATTGTTTATGCTACTCTAAAGGAACATACATTTGATATTTAAAAACAGATAAATATGTATTTTGAAGTTTTCTGTTTTAATATATAGTATGTTCTATATTGATAGGTATAGCTAATAAAAACAATAGCTTTGAGTTCAGTAATTTTTAAAAGTGTTAAGAGTTCTTAAAGGCAAAGAGTTAGGCTCCCACTGCTTTAAGAGGATCAATAGTAAATTTTTCTTAAAATACATGTCTTTAGACAGTGGCAATAATATGGAGACCACTGATTCTCTGTCTTGCAAACTTTGAGGTCCCATAGGTTATGTCAAATTAACTGATTGGTTTTCTCAGGCTTATCGTAATTTGTTGGCACTTGAGGGGTCAGGAATAACTGGAAAAACCTGATTTAATGTAATTTGATTGCTAAAAATTCTTCCATCATCAAATCTGGGGGAGGAAAAAATGCTAATGGTTAGATTATTGTTGTAATAAAAGAAACTAGAGCCTTTTCTGACTTGAAATGTGTTTGTTTCTTTGTGCATATTTTTAAATTAAAGCATGTTTATTGGTTCTTTTAAACAGATACTTTGCCAGTTGATCTGTATAGGCTATTGTTTTTTCAGTAACATTTTTATTTCTTCATAAATTCCTGAAAATGGATAATTTAACTAAAGGTTAATCTTTGATAGCTGCCAGCACTGTTAGGCAAAGGGACCAGCCCTGTGGCCGCTGCCTGAGGCACCAGCATCCCATATTAGTGCTGATTTGAGTCTTGCCTATTCTACTTCCAATCCAGCTCCCTGTAAATGTACCTAGGAATTTAGCATAGGATGGCCAAAGTCTTGGGCCTCTGCACCCATCTGTGAGACCTGGAAGATGGTTCCGGCTGCTGTCTTTAGACTAGTGCTTCTGCAGCCATTATAGCCACTGGGGAGTGAGCCAGCAGATGTAAGAGCTCACTCTCTCCCCCATACACATGCATGTATTTCTCCACCACTGTCTTTGAAGTAACTCTTTGAAATAAATTAATCTTTTAAAATTTAATTTAAAAAATTTGACGCAGAAAAATTATACCAGAGCATAAACTCCATTTTGCTAATAGTAAGTGTTATCATTACTTTTTCTCTAAAGTGGAATTAAACATTCCCATGTTTTTCTAACCCATGTTTCCTTAATGTTAACATGCTAAAAATTGAAAGTTAAATTGCAGGCTTTATTAGAAGTTTGCCATTTCTTTCTGGTAATGCCCTGTTCCACTCCCTCCCTTGATTCTCTTCAGGAGTCCACCTTGCAATTAGTCATTTCTTCCTAGCTTATTTATATTTTTCATAGTTTTGATTTTTTCTTTTTTCTTTCATTATGAAAATTTTCAGAGTAGTGATTTATGTTGTAGAAATTATTACTATGTTCAGAACCGTGCCAACTCAGTAAACATGCCTGATTTCTTTAGTAAGTTGGGAAGAAAGTGTTTTATATTCAATTGCTTATTTGTGTTTTGCTTCTGAATTTTCTTAGTGTGTGTTCTGTGCCCATTTTTCTCTCATTGGGTTTTTCTTTTTTGATTTTTAAATATTGTTAATCTTAAAACTTTATTCATCATGACATTCCAAAAGTAATTCTGAGGGCTTAGTGTATTTTATAAATAACATTGAACTATGTATTAATGAAGCAGTATATTAGATAAGTCATAATGTTGAAGTATACATACCCGCATTGTAATCGCGGCTTCCATAACTATACTAATTATGCATACTACTTTATACTTTACTGCATTTTGTTCACCTCAGACTTTTCATTCATCTTGGTGTCTTCCTGTTTATCTGGATGTATTGATGGGAAGGCTGAAAATTTCTGTGAGTCCCCAGATCTTCAGGAGCAGTCTCCTGTAAGCAGCTTCTATCCCAAACTCTGCCTGCCATTTTTAACTTGTTTACCTGTGACCAAGTTGCTTTCATTTTTATTTTATAGAACAGGAGATTGCCTGACACAGCACAGCTTTCTGTGGGATGATAGGAAGAGTGAGGGGCCCATGTTTCATCTTTCTGATCTGTAGCTTATACAATTTTTCAATAAAGTGATTCTAAAATTCATATCATATGATATGGTCAGCTTTAAGCTGATGAACAGTACCACAGATTTTTTCCCAGTTCTCATTTTTGTTGTCGAGTTTTTAGAAGTATACAAACTAATTTTTAAATTTCCTCAATATGTTTTATATTTTTAGTCTTCTTATACATGAAGGTTTTGTTGAATTCTTTTTGTCTTCTGTTAAATGGGCTTACTATAATTGTGGAATCCTTTTAAGTCGTAGCACAATTGTTAATGTAAAATGAGTTTATGTTCTTTACTTTGTAAAAGTTGTGCTGGGCTGTTTAGTTGGCTAGTTAGGAATAAACCAGCTATAAATTAATAGTTTGCTTTCACTTTTACGTGATAATTTTGGCAAAATAATATTACCTTTTTGCTTTTTAACTTATTTACAATTAACTTATCAAAGCTATCCTTAGAATATTGTCAGATAATTAAATTTCCATTTATAGCATTTATATAATAAATGATTATGTTGAATAAATATTATATTCTCGATTTAAAATGTTTTGACAGGGTTCTGTAACAAACTCCTTGCAAGTTGTATCTAATAGTGCTCCGGAGTTACTGTTTGACTTGACCCGGGATGTAAGCTTATCACATTTTCAAGGTGGACCAACAGTTTCTGTAGCAGGTAGGTTTGTAATTTTTTTCATAAAGATTAAAAAAATAAACTGTATATGTAATTGACTTTGAAACCTATACCCTGGTGTATTATGTTTCATATTTCCAAAGGTAGAATGCTGCTTACTAATTATTGAATGCCTTGGTTGGGTGATTTTTTATATATTTTCCTTCTTCTTCTAAAGTAGACCCACGGCTTTGAGCTAATTCTTACTTGGAGCCAACTTTTTAATTCCATTTTCTGTTAGTTTTTGAAGCATTCATATATGAATTTTATTCTCACTCTATTTCACACAGGGCTCTTTGATTCCCAAGTAAGTGAAATATGAAAGTGAATTACAAGATTTAAAGGTCTAGACAATAAGCAGTTGTTATAAATGATAATGTGCAGTGGTATGATTGACAGACACTGTCTAGGGAAATAGGGGAATTTTGAGAAGACTGAATTTGAGCTTGATCGTAATGAGGAAAGAACATGGGAAGTAGCATGAGCCAATGAGATCAGAAATCAGTAAGGATAGGGTCAGATTTTAAGCAAATGTAAATTTAAATAAGATTTTATTTAATGTTGAGATTTCTTTTTTTGAATCATTTCTTGTATTTAGTGTCTATTTCTGTCATCTAGTGTGCTTAATTTATAATATCCGTGCTCATTGGGTTTTCAAGTGCTAGTGAGATTACACAGAATTTTCCCCATGTCACTGCTGTGATTCTATCAGTAATCAAGTGATTTAATAATGAGGAAAAAAACATTTTGTGTTACCTTAAGGTGAATAGAGAGACACTAATTAGAGTAATACCAGTATTGGCATGTTTGACCTTTATAAGTAATTTTTGTTTTCTCTTTTGAAGTAAGTTAATATGTAAAGTATTCCATTAGTAACAGTAATAGGTATCACTTATTGTGGAGTATACCAAGTGTTTCATTAGGTGCTTTAAAGAAATTATTATTACAATTTTCCTTAAAATAGCTTTATAAAACATGATGTAACTAACTTTAGAAAGGAGAAAACTGAAAGAAAAAGAAAAATGTGAACATACTTAGCAAGAAGGAATAGAATTTGTTTTTGACTTTACCTTTTCTCATTCAAATGATTGAATTATTTCTGGTGTGTTTACTTTACCTCTATATTTTTTGATATATTGAGAGCATTTTAAATTTGATGTGCAGTTTTAGAATTTTTTTTTACAAATTATAGTTATGTATTTAAAAGTTTTTGAAAATTAATTTATTGTTTTTATTTGAAAGGCAGATTTACAGATAGATAAGAGATGTTCCATCTGCTGGTTCCCTCCTCAAATGGCCACATAGGGCAGAGCTGAGCCCGTTCAAAGCCAGGAACCAGGAGCTCCCTCTAGTTCTCCCATGAGGGTGTGGGGGCCCAAGGACTTGAACTATCATCCACGGCTTTCACAGGCGAGCAGGAGGGAGCTGCACCAGAAGTGGAGCACTGGGACATGAACTAGTGTCCATATGGGACGCTGGTACGCAGGCGCAGGCTTGGCCTACTAATCTAGGGTGCTAGCCCCATGTTTTTGTTTTTGTTTTTGTTTTTTTGTTTGTTTTTTTCAAAAAGTTTCAATTGGTCCAAGTACAGTCTTAAATATCCTCATTTCTCTTGCTAATGCTCTAAAAATGGCTAAACTTTTTTAGCTTTAGGATAATTTTCAAATGAAAAGGTATAGAAATGAAATCCATATCCAAATAAAATTTAGTGTGAAAATCTAATACATAAAAGAGGAGGGAGTTTCTGTCACACATACCCCGTATATTCCTCAAAATGAGCCCATTAAGCTCTGGGTACATATTGCAAAAATCATTATGCCAACTATTTCTATTATACACTCTTTCAAATGAGTGATTTCATTCAGAGCTGTTTCTACTCTGTACTAGCCAGTATGTGTAATATCACCTAAATTCTTGAATGAAGCAGTTCTCAGATGGAAAACCTTCCCATTTCATGTTCTACATTATTTAATAAAAAAGCATCTTAAGAGTCTGTAAGGTTTTTTTTTGTGTGTTTTTAACAAATACCACTTATTGTTGACAAACAGTGGTACTTTCAAAGTATTTATGTAAACACTGAAAAAGCATTCATTTGTAGAAACAATTGAGAGTAATATTTTTTGCTTTATCTTTTGGCTTTGGATATTTTGATCTGGTTTCTTTAATAGTAGTTTTTTTTTTTATTTGAAGCCAATTCAGAGTCTTCTTGCATGAAAAACAATTCATAAATTATTTAATTACATGAAGTCCATAATAATTGTTCTAAGTTCTTTCTTTATGCCTACTGAATTTGGATCACTCAGCTTTTATTATTGTTGTCGTTTGCATGATAATTTGATTAACTTTAACTTTTGAAATACTTTTACTTTGTTGCAAGCAAATTTTAAAATGTTTTAAAATACTTTTTTCTACTATTTAAACCATTCAAGGTGTGAATGAAAATTCATTTTTATCAAAACGTCCTTCTGCTTCTGAAGCCAACAGTGTTAGTCCAAAAAAGCCCAAGCCCGGTGAAAATGTTCCTGGAACAAATTCTTCAGCTGTATTCCCTTCAGTTACATCTCCTTCAGTGACCCCTCCCCAGGCAGTGCCATCAAAGGGTAAGTAAGATATGACAAATAAAAAGAAATTAGCTTTATTTTAGGAATTGTTGTAAATTTCAAAAACTATTACTAATGACTATTTAAGATTAAAAAGTGATGATTTTAAATCTCAAGTATCTTGGATGTATTTTAGGTACAAATGCCTCATCGAATCAATCTAAAAATGGAACACCTTTTCCAAAAGCTTGTCCAAAGTGCAATATTCATTTCAATCTTTTGGATCCTCTGAAAAATCACATGAAGGTAAAATTCTTTCAAACTTTTATTTTTTAAGAATTCTGCAAATTTGTTTATTGATTTGTTCAGATTTATTTCTGTACGTAAAATTTAAATTCAATATGATTATTTTTTATTGGATTTGAGAATTCTTTCTAAATAATTTTTAGGGTTTATTTGTTTATTTGAAAAGCACAAATAGAGAAGGAGAGACAGAGATCTTTGTTTTCTGGTTTGCTCCTTAAATGGCTGCAGTGGATGGGGCTGGCCCAGGCCCAAGCCAGGAGCTTGGAAACTGCTTCCTGATTGTGAGTGGCAGGTGTCCATGCATGCCAGACATCTGCTGTTTTACCAGGTGCATTAGCAAGGAGGTGGATTGGAAGTAGAGCAGACAGGGTTCAAGCTAGTGTTCAAACAGGGAAGCAGTGTTAAGCACAAAAGCTTAAACCCACTGTGCCTCAATGCTGGCCTCTGAATGTTTTTTATTCTTAAGATTTGCTTATTTTTTGAAAGTCAGAGTTACAGAGCTAGGGCCAGAAAGACTGACAGAGAGAGAAACAGAGGGAGAGGAAGAATTAAGAATTCCATGTACTAGTTCACTCCCTTAATGTTTGCAGCAGCCAGAGTTAGGTCAGTTCAAACCCAGGAATTTGTTTTGGGTCTCCTACATGGGTGCAAGGGCTCCAAAACCTGGGTCATATTCCGCTGCTTTTTCAGGCACGTAACAGAGCTGGATTAGAAGTGAAGCAACTAGGAGTTGAACCAATGCTCTTATGGGATATCAGCCAAGAATTATCGCATTTAAAAATTTTAAAAATTGACTTTCATGTATAATTGTAGTATATTTTTGTGTGAATGTATATGTATACATACATATATGTACACGTATGTATACACATATATCTGCACCTGAACACACTAGCAGCCATTTTCCAGAATTTATGTTATAACATTGCTTATTTACATTGGAGACTACCAAGACATCATAGAATATTCATATAATAGAACACTGCATCATTTTAACAAAGAAAATAATCTGTAATAGGTAATAATATAGAAGAATTTATAAGACTTACTGTTAAACTAAGTTGAATAGACTATGAACAATGTATGTTTATATCATGAAGAAATACAAAGAAATTTTTAAATCTATAAAGGGAAATTTTAAAACTTTTTTTTAACTTTTGTTTATACATTTTTATGTATCAGTAAAGTTTTTATATGATGATATTGATTTCCTATTTGAGAAAATGTGAATTTTTTTAGATCATCATGAATGGTTTTTCATTATAAATGAAAATTGACTATTATAGAAATATTTTCAACAGAATATTTAAAATATTTAATATTCTGCAGTGATTAAGACAGTTTATCTGATATCTGGTGTTAGATATATTGCTAAGCTTTGAGTGCATTATTTGAAAAGAAATAAAATATGGGCTACTGCTGTGGCACAGTTGGTAGCTGCCTGTGAAGCATCCTATATCAAAGTGCTGGTTTGAGTCTTGGCTGTCCTACTTCTTATCAGGCTCCCTACTAATGTACCAAAGAGCGGTGGAAGTTTGCCCAAGTACTTGGGCCCCTACTTCTCTTGTGGGAGACTAGAATGAGTTCCAGTGTCCTGGCTTCAGCATGGTTCAGTCCCACCAGTTGTGGCCATTTGGGTGGGAACTAGCAAATGAAAGATCTCTTTTGTCTGTCTGTCAGTCTCTCTCTCTCTCTCTCTCTCTGTCTCTCTCTCTTTCTGTTACTCTGTCCTTCAAATAAAATAAACTCTTTTTAAAATGCATTATTTCATTTGATCCTTAGAAACTTTTTCTTAATCTACCTCTAAAATATTTTCGTTTCCCATGGTAAATATGGTCAGTATTAGTAACAAAATTTTTCTCATGTTTTCTGTTGAACTGAAATTCATCCTCAAAAAATTTGACTATAGTGCCTTCTTAAAAGACATTTTGGTTAGAAATTAAGTAAATGGAACCCCCATTTTGATGATCTTGTTATTGCTTCCATTTTCTAACAATGAATGTTGTTTTTGAGGAATCTGGGACAAGCCAGAATTGTATTTCCCTTTATTAAGTGATTTCATCTTTTTTGCCTGATTTTTATTTCTGATGTTTAATAAGTTTATAATGCCATAAGTTGGTATTTGGAATTTTGAATGTTGTGTTTAGCATATTATTCTAACCTGTGTTTGTGTTGTCCTTTGTTTGAGCACCCTTTTTTTTTAAATTGCATTTGAAAAGAACTATTTCAGTTTATTATATACCTAATATGAATTTGATGTCTTTGGCTGGTATAACTCATTTTCTTTGTGCCCTTTAAAATTTTTATTTACTTTGTTTTTATTAGTCTTATTTTACAGTGTCTGTTCACCACTATATCCCACTCAAGTTAATTTATCTGGTTCATTTTATTTTCTCCTTCTAGTTTACTTTTGTCATTCTTTTTTTTAATTGTCTTGCCATTTTTTTTTTGTTTTCGTAGTTTTTAAATAGAGGCACTTACTCACTTACCCTATTGGTGTTTTCACATTTGTTGCAAAACTTTGAACCATTGTGTCCAGATCTGCATCTGTTCCATGGCAACATGTTTTGGGGGGTTTTTAGAATAATTTTATATTCTCCTGTTATTTGGTTGCTTTTTCTTAAGTTTTTTTTTAAATTTTGGACATGAGTTCCTATCATGTTGAACAGGTTGGATTTTCTTGGACTGCTGTTTTATATAAAATCCCTTTTGGGAGGAAACCATGGATTGCCATGATAATCTCACAGCTTGCGAGTTCATTCATAACATTTGGGTAGAATGAAAAAGGCTTCCTGCAAGTATGACTTATGTGTCTGATTCTTAATGTATTACTTTTCTACTTCTGAACTGATCTTTAGGTATTTTTTAAGCTCAGCTACAGTACCTTATTTTGGGAACAAAGGATGTAACTTATGTTACAGTATCTCAACTTTAGGATGTATATTTTTACTGACATTTTCTAATATGTTTCTACTGATGAGTGCTTTTGAATTCTTTGATTTTTCAATTACCCTCCTTCTACCATCTTGGATAGTTCTTTCATATTTTGTAGTATGTGTTAATTTTGCCTGACAGTTCAGTGAAAATCAGATTTGTAGAATTTGGTTGTTATGGCTTTAGGATGACTTCCAGATGGGAAAGATAAAAATGTTGACCTTTGGTTGTTATTCAAGTGAGATACACTGTTTTAATATTTAAAAATACAATGCCAGCGCCTTTACTCTGAAAATACTACTTGAGTTATTAGGCCAGTAACAAACCAATAGAATGCAGTCTATGGAGTTGAGCTAGTGAGATGAGAATAGTGAATGTATAATAATGTGTGATTTTTTTTTCAAATCATATTAAATGGCATTAAAAATATTTGGTACTTGCAGAATGGCTCATGCAGGGAAATAACAGATTAATGAGGAGTTGGGTGCTGTAGATAAGGGCTGAAACCAAAATCTTACTAAGGCTGAGCATAGGATGACCAGTTCATCTTCAGCCATACCTAAGCCATGCAATCTCTGACTTGCTCTAGTCTCTTCAGTCTGAGCTTACTGCTTAAATTGTTTTCCAAAGGATATTTTTTGTAGGATATTTGCTTTTCTCTCAATTACTAAATCTCTACTTGCTGCTGGCTGTTGTTATTAATGGTTTGTTATTCAGCTCTTTTATAGGTATCTGAAACATTGTTTAAATTAGATTCTCTGAACCAGGTTGGTGTATTTATTTGGAAAAATGCAATCCTATCTTACTTCTCTGTAAGATCGTGTAAAAATAGAAAAGCAAGTAATTGATCATTTGTCTTGTATTTAAGCACATATGGATATTGTAAGTCACCTTTAATTCTACAGATATACCAAATCAAATATTTCTGAAGAATATAAACCTTATCACACTTACCATATATTTAAATTTTTATGTAGATTGCAGAAAGAAAAAGAGACTTAAGTGCAAAATTAGATTCAATTGAGTAACTTCTAATAAAAGTGAAATGTGATATTTGAAACATAATATTATTGACATTGCTAATTAGCCTAGTCTATATATATTGATATATTATAATTTTTCCATTATTGTGTGAGATCTTCCTGATAGGAAAAATGTAGAGAAGGAGAGAATTTTACTTGTTAAGATTGTGCCACTTACATACATGATTAGAAGTAATTATTTGAATAGCTGTAGATCCTTATTTTTTTCCATTTATGTTTACAAATTTGCATATTTTGAAAGAATTTTTTAAAAGTCCCTAAGTTTGAGCTTTTAAATACTGTATGTGTTGGAGGGGACAGTGCGGTCACATGCAGGCTAGCTCTTTGCCTGTGATGCCTGCATCCCATTTGGGTGCTGGTTCAAGTTCTGGCTGCTCCATTTCTGATATAGCTCCCTGCTAATGCCCTAGGAGAACGGCAGAGGATGGCTTAAGACCCTTGGCCCTTAGACTGATGGGAGAGCCTGGTTGAAGCTCTTGGCTCCCAGCTTCAGACTAACCAACCCAGCTCTGCCCATTGCAGCCATTTGGAGAGTGAACCCATGGGGGAAAGATCTCTCTGTCTCTGACTTTCAAGTAAAATGAATGAATGTTTTAAAAAAAATTGTGTATATCTGAGAAATAATATAGAAAAATGTGTAACAGAATTTTTCTTTTTTTTTTTTTAAAGATTTATTTTATTTTTATTGGAAAGGCGGATATACATAGAGGAGAGACAGAGAGGAAGATCTTCCATCCGATGATTCACTCCCCAAGTGAGCGCAACGGTCGATGCTATGCCGATCTGAAGCCAGGAGCCTCTTCCGGGTCTCCCAGGAGGGTGCAGGGTCCCAAAGCCTTGGGCCGTCCTCGACTGCTTTCCCAGGCCACAAGCAGGGAGCTGGAAGGGAAGCGGGGCCGCCAGGATTAGAACCGGCGCCCATATGGGATCCCGGGCGTGCAAGGCGAGGACCTTTACCACTACGCCACTGTGCCGGACCCAACAGAATTTTTCTTTATACAAAAGTTTTATTTTGGGTCTAGCAGGTGGTGTATCAGGCTGATCTTCACCCTACACCACTGGCATCCTTTATGGGTGCCAGCTTATGTCCTGGCTGCTCCATTTCCCATCCAGCTTCCCGCTTATGGCCTGGGAAATCCAGGTAGAATGAAGGGATTTTGCACCCACAAGGTAGACCCTGAATGAACTTCTGACTCCCAGCTTCTGATCAACTTTGCTCTAGCCATTAGATCAACTTGGGGAATGAATAGATGGAAGACCTCTCTCTCTCTGTCTCTTAGTTCTGTTTAAAATCTGCCTTTTTTTAAAAGGAAAATTTTATTCTAAAGGCACAGTGACAGAGAGGTAGAAAGGGAGAAACAGATAAAGAGATCTCTCTGCTTGTTTAGCTACCTCCAACCCCTACCATCTTATCCCCCATCACCCCCACCTCACCAACCCCACTTCAAAGTGCTGAGTTAGTCTGAAGCCAGGAGCTCTGTCATGGTCTCCCACATGAGTGTCAGGAGTCAAGCCACTCAGGCCATGCTCTTCTGCCTTTCCAGGCTTACTGGCAGGAAGCTGGATTGGAAGCAGAGCAAGTAGGAGTCAAACTGCTCTTTGATACAGGGTGCTGGGACTTAACCTGCTGTACCACAGTGCCAACCTAGTGAAACTTTTCTTATCTATATCTGTTATGGTTTCATTTCAACTGTGGTCTGCTGGGAGTTTAAAGCTGAAAAGAATTGTACTACATCAGGAAACAAATGTATTTGCCTTAATTTTACATGTGGTTTCTACCTTAATTCCTAATTACCATTTGATTATATCATTTTTATGTATAATTTTATTCAGTTTTCTTTGTGTTTTTTTTTTGTAGTTATTTTTTTTCTTTGGCAAGTTGACAAGTGAAACAAAATGAAAGCAATGCCACATTGAAGGAAATGTTACAGATCTGTCCTGGAGTAAAGGCCCATGTAATGAAAAATATTTAACCAGTTACCTAACATGTAGCAAAAGAGGAAGTAGATGTTGTTAGAGAATTGTGTATAGATTTTTAAACTTTTTTATGTTGCTACTAGTGACATAAATATTTTTAGCAAGCATTTATGTTGTAAGAGAAGTGCCTGTGTTGTTTGTAAGAAAACACAGCTTTTGGGCCTCATCTCTAGATATTGTAGTTTAGTCCCTTTGACATATAGTATAGGAATTAGCATGTTAACAAGCACTTATTTTTCTAATTTTGGTCTTTCTCTGATTGCACTCAGAGAAAAATTGTCCTAAGAGAAATCCTACAACTGACAGTTTACAGTTGCTGAATTAATTATATCTTGTTTTAGAATATACTTAATGTATGAAAAAAATCTGTTTGTATGAAATCTTGATTCCTCTCCAAATATTTAAGCATTCTGAATTTAAGACAATTTTTGAAGTTTTCAAGATGAAACTAAGACCTGGTTTTGTTTTTTGTGTGTGTGTGTGCGCTCCACACATTTTTAGTGCCTTGAGTCTGGAAACTGACAGATTACCTGTTTCAAAGTCCAGTTCAAGTCAAGCTTTATGAAATTCTGTTTCTTTTAAAATAATTAGACATGCACTTTAAGGTTCATGAACTATATTTCCCTCCTATACTGTATCATGATATTAATATGAAATATATGATTTTTCATTAAGGGATAAATTATTATAAAATACTTACATTTGGACAGGTAAATTGCATTTAAAAGCTGCTAAATCTATAGTCCAGTCCTGACATTTTTCATTTCTCTTTGAAAAAAAAATTTTTTTTTTTGCTGTATTAGGGATTGTCTGAACTTTTTTGTATTTGTGCAAGCACTATGAATTTTTGGCAACTCTTTTTGTATATATTACCGAGCATTGTTTTACATGGTCTGGCCTTAGTTGTAAATGTAGAATCATTTTTTTTGCTATTTAATTTTTGAAAAAATAAATAAGCCTTTTTTTCTCTCTTTCAGTATTGTTGTCCAGACATGATAAATAGCTTTTTGGGGCTGGCTAAAACAGAGTTTTCAAGTACAACAAATAAAAGTAAGACTGTTGATTCAGAGAAAGGAAAATTGATCATGTTAGTTAATGACTTTTATTATGGAAAACATGAAGGAGATGTCCAGGAAGAACAGAAGACTCATACAACCTTTAAATGCTTCAGTTGCTTGAAAGTCTTAAAAAATAATATTAGGTATGTAAATGCTTATTTTTGTTTCTGCTTAAAAATTGAAATGTTTTAGATACAAATGTTGAGTCTTTGTCTTATATTTTTCAGTGCCGCTTTAAATGAGCAGTTTTAACATTTTCCTTTCAAAACAAAGGCAGAATTTCTCAATGAAAAGCATTTGTTCTTTTTTATATTTTGGTGCTTGATTTCTAGATCCACATAAAGTGTTTCTTATATGTTTCTTAAGAAATAATTTTTACTGCATATTTTTACTTCTTCAGCTGTGTTTGCTTTTCATTTTTCTTTACTTCTTTATGTTTGTCCAGTTGGACACACTAATATTATTTAATGCCCAAATGTTTTAGCTGATATTTATAATTTTTTAACCTTTACCATTTGGGAAAAGGATCTACTTTGGAGAGGCACCAGTTGTAGGAAACCTAATTTTTTTTATTTTAAAATTTAACACCTTTGAAAAAAAGATAATTTCCAATGGAATTTTGAAGATATTATTTATAAATACATATTTTAAATTTTAGGCATTTAAGCTTTGTAAACTTTGAGTTACATGATATACTATGTATAAAGCTATCATCCTATGTAAGTTAATAACAAGAACAAAGTAACAAGACAGATCAATGGTATTTTTCATTGGTTATATAGTTTGACGTTTTATACTAGGTAAGATTGTTTTCCCATCATTTTCTTATAAAATTTTTTCTGATATTGAAGTTTTAAAAATGTAGCGTTGGCCATTTGTATACCTAGCACCCTGGTTCTATCCTTAACATTGTACTATGCTTCATTTGTATATATTTTTTCATTGTTCTACCTAGTGTTTGGTATTTTTGACACATTTCAGAATGTATTGCAAGCACTAGAGTATTTTCCACAAGTGAGATGTGTGTTTAAAAACATAAACCTGTACTTCGCCTTTTTATGTTTATTCTTAATAATTGTCTTTTATAGTTTGCACGCTGAAGCATCTGTAATGAAACTCTGGGTCCAGCTTTTATATAGTTGCTGTGATTTCTGGAGAAAAATCCTGAAGTATACTGCAATACTTCGTTGTAATAATTGTTAATGATTTCTGTATGATAGCACTTTATCATTTTCCAAGTTCTATTGCATCCTTAATTTTATATGAATTTTTCGTAGTTCTTCACATTCTTTTATCACGTTTCAATAGCCTCCAGTGTTCTGTGGTCCAGGAGTTTAACAGAAAGAAAATTGTGCTGTAAAATAGAACAGTGAACAACTATTATAGAAGGACTTTGCCATCTATTTCCATTTTCCTTCTGTTTTGTAGTAAAATACCCCAGGATGTCCTGATAGCTAATAGGGTAAAATGAGTAGAGTGAGGCTCACTGATTTCCTTAGTTTCTTGTTCAGTGTTAGGTATATGTTAATGTAAGTTATTTCAGCAGTGACTCTCTGGATTTATTTTTGTGAGTAGCCCATTCAGTATGAAACATGAAAAATGACTAGTTATATGAGTATAAATCGTCAGAATAATGAAAAATTTTAAATAAACTGCTAAAGATTGAGCATTTTAAAATATGGATTATTTACTTAATGTAACTAACGTTAAATACCTATGACTAAAGTGAAATAAATAATGTTACTTTAATTTTTCCTTTTATAAACTGGGAAGGCAAGGAAGGCTAAGAATTTCTACTGTGTTCTGTTGTGTGTGTGTTTGTGTGTTTCCCTACGTTGGGTGTCACTAAAACAGATTTTATTTATTTTGTTCTGTGACAGTTTTTGCAGGAAGCTTGCCTTTCCCCCACCCCAACTTCCAAGTATGGATTTGAAAAAATGTGATCTCTTGATGAAAGATCCTATAACAAAAGAGAAACAGCTGATCCTATAATTAAGGGAGAGACAGCTGATACGTAGATATACTTAAAGTACTTGAAACTATGTGCCAGAAGTTTAGTGGCTCATGACCTTTTTCTATATGAAAATAATTAAGGCTAGGGTTTTCTGCAGTGTCTATAGAGCTGGTGTTAAAAATCATAGGAGAAATTTCAAAAGACACCATGACCTGCACTAATGAGCACTAATATTTGTGTGTGTGAAAAAGAGATGTTACAATCTTCGTAATGATGATTATTCAGACTGGTGACATTATTAGTTCCTTTCCAGATTACTTTTTGTGTGTGTGATTCACAGTGAATAACTTAATAGTTGACAAATGTAAAAATTGTTTCGATTAAAAAGCTCTGGTTTGACATTCAGCAAAAACTTCAGTACACTCTTCTAAGTAGGTGTTCCATTTATATTGTACTCTCTTCTGTTAAAGGTCGTAGTTCCTGCTCATAAGAAGCCTTTTAGGGAAGCTGAAAAAGCACAATGTAAAACTGAAAAATGGACATTGCCTGCAAAGGGCACAGTCTGCAAGTGAACAGTCTGTACTAACAGTAAACTGGTGGTATTAAGTAAAACAAAAGGTTCTTGTAATTGTAGGCATTAAAATTACCCTTACATGTATTTGGAAATCAAGACACAGTGAAAATACCAGTAAGCTGTCTCTGAAGCATCTGGAATCTATTGTGTATCTTCAAAGCCGTAAAAGATCTCTCTCTTGACTCTGTAGCTGTTTTTGGTGGTAGGATTTTCTTCCTTTCAGTATGTTTAAAATATGAGAAGTATGTCAGCTATGGAAAAGAGCCCTGCTATTTTTATCTTAAAAAATTTTATTTTATCTGAAGTAATGACTTAAGAATTACATCATTAGTGATATTTCAGATAACTACATTAATGATGTTTTTTTTTTAAAGTGAAAAGGTTTAGCCAAATCATTTAAATTAAGTGAATTAAGCATTACACCTTTCTGGAAGACTAAGGCTTTCCATTTTATTTTAAGTAATTGATCTCTTTTAAGATATAGGTTCAGACACTTGCGAGATTTTCTGTTTAAATCTGAACTTTTGCACCTGTTGACAATCATTTATAGGTTTATGAACCACATGAAACATCATTTGGAACTTGAGAAGCAGAGCAGTGAGAGCTGGGAAAACCACACCACCTGCCAGCACTGCTACCGTCAGTTTCCCACACCATTTCAGCTGCAGTGTCACATCGAAAGTACACACACTCCCCATGAATTTTCTAGTAAGTTACAATTTCATGTAACTTGCTTTGATGATACAAATTGTGGAAAAAACTTAAATCTATTTGAAAAGCAAGAGTAAGAAATAGGCTTTGAAATTTGAAGAAAAATTGAAAATTTTCATTTTGATCTTTCTTAAATTTTTAGATCAAGTTAGCTAATAAAAATTAAAATCTCTCTTGAAATATGAATATTCCATTGTGATCACTGGCTGGGCATAACCTGTGCTTTATATGTGGGGACTAAGCTAGAAGTTTCAGATCATATGATACCAGTCTCTTCATTTAAACTTTAGTTAGAAAAGTAACAGTTGTAGTTTTTAAAAAATCTTTTCTCATTATGAAAGGGGAAAATGGAGAGGGAGGAGGGGGAGGACGAGGGAGAAGTCCCTATACCTACAAAACTGTATTTTTGGAAAATAAAAAGAAAATCATCCTTTCAATTTAAAAATATTTTAGAATCTTTTTTTCCCCATTTAAAAAATGCTTTTATTTGACAGGCAGAGAGACAAGGACAGAGTAACAGAGAGGAAGAGATAGGATGACTTAGAGATCGCTGCTGTGCCACTGCCTGGGAGCTGGAAACAGTCCAGGTCTCCTGTGTGATTGGCACAGACCCAGCTGCTGGAGCCATCACTTGCCTCCAAGGGTGTGCATTTTTAGAATTGGGAATGCTGACAGTGCTTGAATCCAGGAGCACAAATATGAGATGTGGGTTACTGAGTAGCATCTTCACCCATTGTGCTCAGTGCCCACCACTACGATTATAGTTAAAATAGCAGATATTGGAGCTGAATATATTGTATGCAAATCCCACAGCTGCTTTTAAATACAGATATATGATTTCAAGTAATTTACCTAATTTACCTAATACTTGGATAGTGAGGATAAAAGATAGACTGTCTTTATAGTGTTGTTACACAGATTGAGTTAATTAATGTAATAAAGTTCTTTGTGTGTTTGGCACACAGCTACCATACTATTGATTGTTCATCCCCATTGCCATTGCAACTAATATTATTGTCAGTTTTGATAAAGATGTATGAAGTGTTTATTTTAGGTTTATATCCTAGTAAGTTATAATGCTGTGTCCCTTCAACTTTCAGCAATTTGTAAAATCTGCGAATTATCATTTGAGACAGAACATGTTCTTTTGCAACATATGAAGGACAATCATAAACCTGGTGAGATGCCGTATATTTGCCAGGTACACACAGATTTTATTACATTAATCCTGTGTTTGTTGGGCTGGTTTCTCTTTTTTCTTTTTACAATTTAAACTTGTTAGACCTGAAGTCAGCATAATTTGTTTTCTATAAAAGTAAAAATGGTAAGTAAAACTAAATATTTCATTCTTGTCATGCTTGTATCCATGTGCTTCAAAACGTTAGTGGAAAATGGAATTAAAAGATGTTTGTGTTGGTACAGTTTTTAAATCTATGCATCATTTTTCATAATACGAATTTTCATAAGCCTATTTGAAGACCATATGCATGGATTTGGAAATTTTTTGAACAAAAATAAAATTTTTTCACTGTATTTTCTGTTAATTTTTGCTTTGTTCAGTCTCTGTTGTGACTAGTCATCTCTGTTGTCATAACACAAAAGCAGCCATAGACAATGAGTGGATAAATGGATGTGTCTGTTTTCCAACAAAACTGTATCTGGGTGTTAAATTGAGTTTGATATAATTTTAATATTTCAGAAAATATATTAGTTTTTAATTTTTATATTCATATTTAGATAAATATGGCAGCTAGAAGACCCTCTTGTAGTTAAATTATCAGTAAAAAGTTCCTTGGTGTAAGTATTCATTTCATGAGGTGAGAGCAGGGAGCTGGATTTGGCTCAGATGCTGGTGTTTTCGCCCATCCGTTTATGAGGCAGATAAGTGCCTTAATAGAGAAAGACAAACGTGTGGACTTATCTTACCATATGGGGAGAATGTAAGTATGCAAAGGGAAAAAAGATGTTGTTAGCTTCAAAGAACGCTAGTGAATGCTTTGGGATTCTTTCTTTCTTTTTTTTTTTTTCCCCCAGAATTTAAAGAAATAAGAAAGCAAGAGAAAGATCAGTTGCTACTGCAGTATCCTGGAGCATTATGATCGAATGGAGAATGCTCTTTATATGCAGAGGATACATTTAAAGAGCAGGAGACTAGAATTGGAAAGTTCAAGTCAAGATAGGGAATGATAAATAAAAATTTTCATTAGAAAAAAAGAGAATCTAGTTGATTTGAGACGTATTCCCTAACCTTAAAGATAACTTAACCTGTATCAAAGATTATCTTTTGATAGAATTCATTCTCATCATTAGTGGAATTCATGTTAGTTTAGGCATCAGAGCTGCATTAATAGTACAAAATGATCTTCCAAACAATTGGTTCATCCTTGTTATTTTTTAACTGTGTGTCAGTTGCTAATGTTCAAATTGAAATAAACCTTCTTCAATTTCTAGGTTTGCAATTATAGATCATCATCATTTTCTGATGTAGAAACTCATTTCAGAACATCTCATGAAAACACTAAGAACTTGCTATGTCCATTTTGCCTCAAAGTTATTAAAATTGCAACACCCTATATGCACCATTACATGAAGCATCAGGTGAGAGTTACCAGTTCTTATTTGTTCTTGTTGCAGTACCAAAAGGATGGAGTATGACATAGAACGTTGGTTAGATTCATTTTTTAAAGATTTATTTATTTTTATTGGAAAGGCAGATATACAGAGAGGAGGAGAGACAAAGAGGAAGATATTCTATCCGATGATTCATACCCCAAGCAGCCACAACGACTGGAGCTGAGCCAGTCCGAAGTCAGGAGTCAGGAGCTTCTTCTGGGTCTCCCAAGCAGGAGCAGAGTCCCAAAACTTTGGGCCGTCCCTGACTGCTTTCCCAGACCACAGGCAGGGAGCTGGATGGGAAGCGGGGCTGCCAGGATTAGAACCTGCACCATATGGGATCCCGGCGCATTCAAGGCAAGGACTTTAGTCATTAGGCTATCACACTGGGCCCAGTTAGATTTATTTTGCAAAGGAGGCAGAGTTCCAGATCACATTAGTTTGTAAATTGTGATGAATGATTTATAAAACTTCTTTTTATTTCCATTATGTAGCTGTTAGTAACAAAAGTTCTGAAAGAGAAGAAAAAGGGATGCCTGAATATGAGAGAAAAAGAGGAAGAATGGAATTTATAAAAGATTGGTTATTTCAGAGTCAAGTGGTAGATATGGGGTCATTTGGGGGGCGGTTAGGATAAGGGAAAAGTTGAATTTGGACTGAGAAAGAAAAGGTTGAGAACTCATAATTGTGTTCCCTTTTTTTTCTATTCAAACTTTATTTCCATTTACTAACTTCCCATTTGATTGAGAGAACCTGACGTCATTGCCCCAAAGTGGGCTTTTGTAACTACATGCCAAAGAAAACAATTATGATACTACTTGATTCTGAATTCGAGCTATATTTAGATCGTAGATTGTTTATTGCATAACTTCTAACAGTTGCACTATGTAATTTGGGGGACCCAGTGTTAGTACTTGTATTCTTTCCTAGAGTTCTGATGTTATGTTTATTAATCAATTAAACCATCTTTTGTTCTGGCTAAATTTTTTGTTCCAAATTGGACTTTTTCTGAGTGCTTGGAAAAGCCGTAGTGGTTTTATCAAAACAGAAGCAACTGAATCGACTAAATCTGATTATGGGATCAACTTTTGCACACTGACTACACAGTTTAATCAAAGTTTACAATTGTGTTTAAATGAAAGTGTTGATGGATCTGGCAGAATTTTAGAGAAGATACTCTCGAATATGCATATACTTTTAAGTTGTATATGCATGTAAGTTGCATATCTTTTGTTTTAATGAAAGTATATAAGTTAAAAGAATTGCAGTTTAGTGACTTGTAGAATAAACCTGTTTTTTTCTGTGGCAAAGTGAGATTTTTCAGGGTTCTCAGTTTCTGTCTGTAATGAGAGGACGGAGTTTAAGGAGGGATTCAGTAAGAGGTTCCTAACCAGTTTAGTAGATTGTTGTTAGTTGTTGTGTTTTATACTTTCATATCTACATGGTCTTAGCAGTATCCACCACCCACCTAAGATTATTTCAGTTCCAATTAGAGGCTCAGTCCCCTCAGTTGTACTTGTCCTATCTTGAGTGCTCATCAGTAACCACAATGGCTACAGTGCTGATCAATGCAGCTCTAGATCTTGTCACTATTAGGTGATTTTATTAGACAACACTGCTTCATACAAACATTCCTGTAACATAACCTTCTTTGAATTGTCTGGTTAGATTTATTTTGTCTTAAAACATTAATTTTGCCAACTTGTTAATCAAATGGAAATAGAACAAATTAAAAATAAAAATAAACAAAACAAATCTTTAAAAAAAAAAGTGATTTCTTTTCCCTAGGTAAAACATAATATAGCTCACTTTCATATCAAAATACTAATATTTGTGTAAAAACTGAAATAATATTTTGGAATTAGTTATGTTGTGAAGCTACACACATTTTAAGGTAATTTATGCATCGTTTAATCTAGGTAGAACAACCTTGTGACAAAGGATTTAAACTTACAGGGATGATTATTATTTTGCCTTCTAAACAGAAAAAAGGAATACATCGTTGTACAAAATGCAGATTGCAATTTTTGACATGCAAAGAGAAAATGGATCACAAGACTCAGCATCATCGAACATTTATAAAACCTAAACAACTAGAAGGATTGCCTCCTGGGACAAAAGTGAGTTCAAATACGTTGTATTTTAGCATCATATTTAATACGATTTAGTTTATTTTTTGAATATATTTTTAAAGATGACTTCTGATTTTATTACAATTTAAATTTAGGTTTTATAATACTTTTGCTTAAAAAGAAAAACTTGTAAATATTGTTTTGTGGTCCATGAAGGATGTTATGTTGAAATGGTATTTTGTTGTAAAAAAAGAAGTGCAACCAGATGAACTGTTTCCTGTGCCAGCGGGTTGTTTCAGTACTGTGTAGCCTGTTTTGAGCTACTCCAGTTGGCCTTATGTATGTTAGTTTTAGCTTTTGGAGAATAAAATGCTTTATGTCAGGAATCCAGTTTTATTTATCTTTGTATCCCCAGCATCTGGTACAGCACCTTGAATACCATAGGTTCATTTTCAAATGTTTGTTGAAGTTGTTATGAATGAGTATACTCTCAGAGAAGCAAGTTCTGCTGCTGGATAGCATTGTGTTTTAAATCAGCAAACACATGTCTGACTGCATACTGATGATTCTAATTTACTTTTCCGTTTTTGCCTTACGTACATCTGTTTTCTCTGACTTCTCTATATACAGTCAGCTCTTGAATATTTGCTCCAGTGGAGGGAAACAGAGGCATGGATAATCCAAAGTGAAATAATCCCCAAAACATTTATATTTGGCTTGGGTACTTTGAGTGTGGGTATGTCTGTTATTTGAATTAACTAAACAATGTAAAGCCATGCTCTGAAGACCTAGAGCAAGAGAAGCTATCCAGCATCCTTCCCTGCAATCCATTCATTTCATGCTGGGACTAGACATGCAGAACACTAATGTAAGCAGTGCAGTACTCTCTCATTTTTTCCCTTATTAATAATAATAATGATGATGATAATGATACTAAATGTTCCTGTGGCACCTGAAATTAGGCTTTCAGTGTACTTTTTTTCATAATTCTGTTACTTAACCCATACAACAATCCAGTGATATAAAGTATTGATTTGTATTGTGGTGAGAAAAGGCTCAGAAAGATTAATTATTTTTTCTGGATCACATGGCCAGAGAGGCATTTAAACTCAGTTGTATTGATTCCTGGTCCAGTGCTTTTTTTAATGATACCCAAGCACGTGTATTTCTTAGGATATTTTCTTGAGAACGTTGGTGCTTTCTATTACAAACCAACAGATAAAATTGTTGCCTTGTAAATGCTAAATGATAAACTTTATATTACTTCTCTGTAAGAAAATTCTAAATATTACTAAACTATTCCTGTAGTATACAGAATCGATACAACTCCTTTCAGAAATCTATAAGCATAAATGCTAGGCAATCCACTCCTGGAAAGAAAAGGTCACATTTACTTTGAACCTATTTTGTTTTGTAATTGTGAAAGGAAAAAGGTGTCCTTTCTGGAGTTACTTTTCAGGCTTTAAATCTTAAGCTCTGTGTTTGTGAATTTTTGTCATATATGTATCAGAGCATAAAAATAGTTGTGGAATGAGCTCTTTTTTATATTCATATAATTTGCATTAACTCCTAATTATCCCTTAATAACTGTTAACATACAACTGATATCTGTACAAAAATACAAGTATGTAATATTACAAGTGAATACATACCAAGTTTAATTCTATTGTATTGGTTTGAGCATTTAGAATAAGTGGAAGACTTAACCAGATTATGCTTTTCTTTAATACTTGATGTTTAGCTTTTTGTACAGTGCTGTTCTAATACTAATGTAATGATGACTTCCTTAAAGCAAATATTCCCTTCATTTTGTAGGTTACTATTCGAGCTTCAGTTGGACCTCTTCAATCAGGATCTTCAGTTACACCATCCATTAGTGCAAGCACTTCTACCCTTCAGCTTTCACCTCCAAGGACTAAAAATATAACTGATAAAACTCCCACAAAATTGAATACAAGTAAACCTAATACAACCAAATCCAATGCAAGTAAACCCAGTGCCAGTAAGCCTAATGGAAATAAATCTAAATACAAATCAAAAATATCTAATATACAAAAGAAACAAAGCACATTGGCTAGTAGCAATAAAAAAAGTAAAGTTAATACAGCATTGAGGAACTTAAGGTAATCTTTATTCCTGAAACACAATACTAACTCAAATTTAAGCATAAAAACTTCATCCTTTAGTTAACAGAACATTAATAAGGCTCTCCCTTAATATTTTTGTCTTAAAATATATTTTTATCATTTTCTTTATGTCTCCATAAGGTATCGTCGGGGCGTTCACAAGTGCATTGAATGTTGTTCCGAAATAAAAGATTTTGCAAACCATTTTCCTACATATGTCCACTGTAGTTTTTGCAGATACAACACTAGCTGTAGCAAAGCCTATGTAAATCATATGATGAGGTAAGATGAGTTAAACATGTAAATCGCCAATTAAAATTATATGTCAGCAAATTTTTGTTTTGAAAATAAAGGTGTTCTTTTAGGAGACAGATTTTCTCATTAAGGAACTAGAAGAAAGTTTTAAGACATTGCCTGAAACTATTTTCTGGCATATCAACTCAAGATACTACTTAGAATAAAATTGTGAGATGAGTTTATTAAACCAATGAAGTTAAGATAGATTTGTTAGGCAAATAGATTTTCTCTCATTTTTCCCTATAGATATTTCATAAATTTCCAAATTTCCCAAAATTTTTAATGTTTAGGGTATATGTCCAAAATAAATACATGTAATATCGTTAGTGTTAACCTTGAAATGAGTACCCTGAGACACATCAGAATTTCCACTGATTTTAGAAATTTCATTGGATCTATCTCCCTTTCTCTCTGTTACCTTTAATCCATCTGTCTTTACAACCATCTTTCCCCTCAGCCAGTCAGCCAGTCATTTATACTTGAGTTCATTCCGTGAATATGCTGAGCAGTTCTAGCCGTGCTGTCCCTATTGGATTCTTTTTCATTAATTCATTCAGCTTACATTATTTGAATTTACTCCATGCTGATGAAATGCTTCAACTTATATTACTTTCATTTTGATCTCATTAGTAGAGAAAACTTCCTTTAGGATAGATTTTCATTTTAAAAAAATGGCAAAAGCTATTCAGAAATAAACCAGAGAGATTATACAAAATCAGGTTGTCCTCTGTGTCCGGCCCTTTGTTTCTATTCACTTCCCTCTTTGCCTCTCAAATTAATTAATGTAAAATATATGAAAACATTTTTTAAAAGGGTTAGACATTTACCACAGTGGTTAAGATACCAATTAGGAAGCTTGCATCCATATTGAATGTCTGGGCTTAATTCCATATCCCAAGAAGCAGTAGTACAGGAAATGTGGAGCTCAAGCACCTGTGTCACTGCCATCCCAGGCTACTGGCTTTGTAGTCATTGGGAAGTAAATCAGTAGATGGGAGGTTTCTCTTTCTGTCTTTGTCTCTCCAGTAAGTAAAAATTCAATGCAATACGATTTTAAAAAATATTTAGAATTAATGTGTGATTAATAAAAGCGAGATGTCCTAATTTAAATTTTAGATTTATCATTAACTAAATCTTTGTTTATTCTTTTAAAGATTTGTTATTTATGTGGAAGATAGAGTTACACAGAGATAGGGAGAGACGGACAGGTGAGGGTTAGTCCGAAGCTAGGAGTCTAGAATTCCAGTTGGGTCTCCCAGATAAGATCAGTACCCTGAGTAGTTGAACCATCTTCCACTATTTTCCCAGTTGCATTAGCAGTGAGGTGGATTGGCAGTGGAGACCTGGCACTCAAAGCAGCACCCAAAACTGATGTTGGCATTGCCACAATGCTGCCTCCTGTTTATTACTTTTACATTTTTGCTTGAAGGGAAGGGAGGCAAGGAAACAGACTAGTCAAGAGAGAGATCCCATTCACTGATTAACTTCCAGATTGTCTGCAACTGCTAGGGCTGGGCAAAGCCAAAGTGTGGAGCCTAGACCTCAGTCTGTGTCTGTCTTGTAAGTAGTAATCTCCCAGGTAAGACAGGAAGCAGGAATTAAGAATGTAGTTGGTCTAAATTCCATAGAATATGATGTCTCAAGTGACATCTTCTTACCAACTCCCCCAAATGCTCACAGCTATTTTTTTTTAATTGATTTCAGAGGCAGAGAAAATATCTGTTGTCTACTACTTCATTCCCCAGATGCTCACAAGAGTTAGTGCTAAATCTAGCTGATGGTACTCCTTTTTCAGTTCCTTTAGCTTTTTAATTTCTTGAAAACCCTTACATATCTTCACTGTTGTTCTTTGCTTAGCCTGGAACAAAGCAGTAAGACTCTTCTTAACTGGAATGGACTCCTATGTATTGGCTGGCTTCTATTCCATTTGCCTGCAGCTTTCTCTGTGTAACCACAAAATTCTATATGTGTCATTGGTGATCTTTATCTTAATTATTTGTGAAAATATATTCATGGGACATTTTTTCTGCATCAGTTTCTTTCTGTCTCCCTACCCTTGTACCCAAACCATAAGTTCTAGGACAGTCAACTTGTCATCTTACCATACCAGCATCCTTTAATTACTGTATCTGAAATGGTAACCATATTAGCAATATTGTTGAATGTTAATGAAAATATTCTTTTTGTGTTTCTTGGAAAGTAGTTACTTGAATGTAGTCAAGACTATTGAAAAATATGGTTGAAGAGGTTTTGTCCTGTATTTTCTTGATGTATAATTTAAACATAATAAAATCCACTCATTTACAGAGAATGGCTTAATGAGGTTTGACAATCATATCCATTAATGTATCCAGGTAGCAGGGTTTTTAAATCTAGGTATTAATATCATGTTTTTACTATGTTATAATAAAAATCTTAATTTTTTCTTTTGTTAGATTTATTTCTATATTGCCATTACCTTTGTAGAAATCAAATAGGAAAAAGAAGGGTAGTTTTTTCTTCCTTTAGTTTCTGAACTCTGAATTCATTTTTCCATTCCTGAAGTTCAAAAAACTATGATTATGGAGTTTGTATATTAAACTTAGATAAAGAAGTGATATAAGCCCCCCATTTTTTGTAGTTAGGTAACTCTTGAACTAAGTTGAGAAAAAATTAAATGTTATGGTTCTAATTTTAATATGGTATCATGTGGTACCAGTAATAAACAGTTGTGAAAAGTATCAGAAAGACCTGAAAATAATTTTTCTCTTATCATACAGATAAATGATCCAAAACCAGAATCCTTTTTTGAAGAGAAAGAAAAGCTTTTAAATCTCACTTTTAAAACAGCTTGTGTCATTCACATATTCTTAGGAATCAGACAAAATCTTGGATTCAACCCTCTGATGAAAAAGTTATTAATGTAAATTTTTCCTTATAATTTTAATGCTTCCCTATCTCCTGGTGCTGTCTTCTAACAAAACTTTGTGATATTGTCTCAGATTTGTAAATTCTTAAATACTGGTTACTCTCAAATAGAAGGGATATCAACAATCATCTGAGTCATTATAGCTAGCATGAATGTTTGTTTTTCCTTGAATGCACGTGGTAGTGGTGGTGGTGATTACCTTGTGTCTGAGAGTAACTGTTAACTTGGTGTGTTGGCTTATGCTTCTCAAACTTGAGCTGGTCCAGGAATCATTGAAAAAGCTTACTACAGCAGATTCCAAGGCTGTGCTGCTAGAGATTAACTCAGTAGGTTTGTGGGGTTCTGAAAGTTTGCGTTTCTAAATAAGATCTGAGGTAATTTTATGAGTCCATGATTCCATTTTTAGAAAGAATGTACTAACCTTATCCTGGCTTTCTAGTAAAGGAAGCTTTCCTCACCAAAATTTGGGTTATGAAAACAGTTATTATTAACTACAAAATTTGGGTTAAGGTTTTCTGTTCTTGTGTTTAGGGAAAGATTGCTTTAATTTGTGAGTTCTGCTTTTTTTTTTTTAACATCTACTAATAACTGTAAAGAATGCTTTGAAGTTTAAATTTACAAGTGGTATACAGTGGGATTTGCTCAAGTACTGTTTGCTTTCTAGATGATCTGAATTCTGTCCTTCTCACTCCACATATCCATGTTTTAAGGTTAGAGAATATTTGGAAGTTTAGAGATTTTTATTGATAAGCATTCATATTATTAACAAAAATTCAAACTTATTTTCAAGTATTAATACATAGAATTTGATTTGGTACTGTTATACTTTGTAAATTTTTTTGATACAATAATATTAAGATACTGATCATTTAAGAATACACTTAGGAAAATAAGTATCATCAGGACAAGTAGATAAAATTAAGATAAAAAAGCAGAGGGATGACAAACATTATTTATATCATACTATTCTGTTAAAATCTGAAAACTTAAGTATCAGCTTAAATATAGTTTAAAATGAAAATCCTTTGCTGTGTAATTACTAAAATCTCTTTTGTTTCTCCAGCTTTCATAGTAACCGTCCAAGTAAAAGGTTTTGTATATTTAAGAAGCATTCAGAACTCAGGTAACTAGTTGGTCATTTTTTATTCTTATTCAAAAGTGGTCATTTTGTTACTATTACTATTGTTTTAATTTTAAAGGCAGAGAGAAATAAAGAAGAGACACATGCAGAAATCTTCTAACCCCTTATCCCTCCCCAGGAGCCTGGAGTAGTTGGGGCTGGCCCAGGCAAGAGCTAAGGGCTCAGTCTTTGGGTAGCAGCTATTGAGCCATCATCTGCTGCCTCAAAAGGTACTCATTTGCAGGAAGTTGGATTTAAGAGTGGAGCTGGAACACAATGCTAGGCACTTCCATATGGGATGCAAGAGAACCAAGCAATATATGAATTGTCAGGCAAAATTCTTTCCTCAGTGTTTTGTTTTCTTTACATAAGGGTTTACTGAGAAATGATTTGTTAAAATTTATGCAGTTAATGTGTAAAATAATATGCTTTGTTATATCCAAAGAGCCATAACAGTTACCATAATTGATTTTATCACATGTTCGCTTCAAAAAACTTTTTCTCATTAATGGTCATCTCCATTTTTCTGTCCATCCCTAAACCACCACTAATTGTTTTTTATTGGTAGAGATTTATGCTTTCTGAACCTTTCGTATCAATGGAAGCATACATTATGTGGTGTTTTATGACTCCTGGCTTTCATCCAGTCTAAAGTTTCCCAGGTTCATCCATATTGTAGCATGTATCAGTACTTCAGCTTGTTAAAATAACAGAATAACATTTTATTTTCTGGATATACCATAGTTTTATCCATTTAGATTACTTTCATGTTGAGGTCATTATAAATAATACTACTAAGATTTGTTACTATGGACGTGTCTTCTCTGTGTTGAGCTTTTGAGGATTTATTCTTCCAAAGTAGATCTGCTATTTTGCATTGCCATTAGCACTTTGTGGGGGTTTCGTTTTCTCCACATCTTTGCCAGTGTTTGTGTCTCTTAAAATATTGTTCTTTACCAAAGGTGAACTCCCAGTAAAACTGTTGAATATATCCTGACAGTAGGAAGCTGGACTCTGACATTGTCCATGCATGTGATGTCAGGAAACACTTCAGTAGCAGAATGATGGACTAATGACTATTCATGAAAGACCACCCATTATAATACTAGAGGATAAATCAGAAGTGAGGGAGAGGGAACTTTGGGGGGGGGATGGGAAATCCCAGAGCCTATGGAAATAGATCATAAAATAATAATAATAATAAAATAGGGAAAAATGTTCTTTAAATTTTGAGAGTCAGACAGAAATATTTCATCTGCTCATTAACTTCCTAAATTCCTACAACAGCTGGGGGCAAGAACAGGGCATTAGGAATCCAGTCCAGGTCTCCCAGGTGGGCGGCAGAAATCCAATTACTTGCTTGGACTATCACCACTGCCTTTCAGCATCTGCATTAGCAGCGAGCTGGAGTTAGAAGCCAAAGTTGGAATTTGAACCCAACAGTCCCATTGTGAGATGCAGCTTCCTAACTGCTAAGCTAATTGCCCATTCCCATTGTTACTGATTTTTAAACAAGTTTTTTTTTTTTAAGATTCATTTATTTTTATTGGAAAGGTTTACAGAGAGAAAGATCTTCTTTCTGCTAGTTCACTCCCCAAGTGGCCACAATAGCCAGAGCTGAACTATTACAAAGCCAAAATCCAAGAGATTCTTCCAGGTCTCCCTCAAGGATGCAGGGTTCCAAAGCTTTGGGTTGTCCTCTATTGCTTTCCCAGAGTACAAGCAGGGAGCTGGATGGGAAGTGAAGCAGCCAGGACACAAACTGGTATCCATATGGGATCTGGACACATGCAAGGGGAGGATTTAGCCACTGAGCCATCACATTGACCCCTTTAAAAGTTTTATTTTATTTATTTTTTTAAAAGGGCAAGAGATATATTCCATCTCTGACTGACTCCTCAAATGCCTGTGTGACAGTCATGGGTGGTCTATGATGAAGCCAGGCCTAGACCTCATTCTGGGCCCTCCTGTTCAGGTGGCAGGAACCCGAGTGTGTGAGCTGCCATCTGCTACTTTCCAGTATGTACATTGGTAGGAAGGAGGATCAGAAATGGGCAAGCCAGGACTCAAAACACATTCTAGTATGTTTTGTGGATTTCCCAAGTAGCATATTAACTGCTGTGATGAAAATCCACGCCATTACTGATTTCAGAATATGATTGCATGGGTGTGTGTAAAGTGGTATCTCATTGTAGCTTTCTATGAATTTTTGTTTAATCTGGTTTTGAGATGCTTTAAATAATTGCTACTATGTATTACAGAGTAATGTTCATTGATATCCTTAGTTTAGAGGAGTCATTTTCTTACTACTTTTACTTCAGTGGTGATAAACAGTATCAAGATGAAACTTTCACTCACTGACATAGTAAAATAATACTAAAACTCCCAAGTAATACTTGAGTATTGAAAAGACACTTAAGATAATCTAGTTAAGTAAATTGCTGTTTAGTATGGAAGTAGATCTCTCTTTATTATTGCTTAACAGATATTTTGCAAGAAAGTGACAAAATAAAAAATCAGTGATATCGCTCCTTATATTTACAAACCACAATTAGAAATTTGGTAAATTCATTCAAATAGATGTCTTAATCATAAGCAGAGTCATGAAGTCAAACAATAAAGTCAAAATATATTTTACCTGAAGTTATTAAATATGAATTTATTTAAACCATATTCATGTTATTTGTGCACTACTTCAAAAAGTGACAATAAATACCTTTTATATCTCATCTTTGTCCTTCATTTGTAATTTTATATATTAACAATGAAATAAAATCCTCCAAATAAAAAATTCAAGATGAATACAAACATCCTTTAAAACAATGAAGTGAAATTTTCCAAATAAAAATGATTCAATATGAATACAGACATCTTTTAAAACTTATGAGAATGGTAAGACAAAAGAAAATACCCAGAACAACAAAATAAAGGCATTCTCTCCCTTTTTTTTTCTGAGATTTATTTTACATGAAAGAGATGCATACACACACACATATGGATCTTCCATCCACCATCCATTGGTTCAATCCCAAAGTGGCTGCATCATCTGGAGCTGGACTAGTCTGAAGCTGAAAGCCAAGAGCTTCTTCTGGATCTCCTACATGTGTGCAGGGCTCCATGGCCTTGGGCCGTCCCCACTGCTTTCCCAGGCCACAAGCAGGGAAGTGGAGCAACCAGATACTACATATACATACTGCATGTTAGTTATTTATCTAAATGCACTCTAAACTTAGAAGGCCAACTTTGCTGAAAGATTTTCTCAGTATTCTACAATGGCTTTAACAGTGGTAACTTTGTAAATAAGTGGATTAGTATGAAGTTCAATATCATATAAGAACTTCTCTTTGATTAAATAAACACTAGTTTTGTGCTAGTAACATGTGCTTTAAAATATATACCTAATTTAACACCAAAGTTGATATTGTGAAACTGGAATAGAAAAATAAGAATATTAAGGCTTACTGATTAAGATCCTGGGAGGACATTCTTTTCTGTTCTGTCCTCTGTAAAATCTCACTGAGTGGTGCTGTGCACACATTCCTGACACGCAGGGTACTGTCACACCAGTGCAATTACTAACACAGCATTGCAAGAATAAGCTCTATTCAGTAAATACAAAATACTCTACGCCTAGTTTAGATACTTCGGAAATGCCCACTTTGTAAAACAGTGCAGCATGTCTATCTAATAAACTGCATTTTTATTATCTTTTTTTAGATAAACTATTGATCTTTATAATAACTTTGAAGTTAGGGAGAAAAAAAGTAAAACTAAGACTTACCACAAAGTAAAATTAATCCTACTAGTGTTATTTTATTTATTATGTTGCCCTTAATATAGTAAACTTCTGATAAATTTATGACTTGTGGTATGAATTATTCATACAAAGTATGGAAATGCTTCTCAAAAACTCCAGATACAATAGGCATCAAATACCAGGCCCAGAGAATAGAAATAACTTTCTTTTTAAAGATTTACTTATTTTTTATTTGAAAGGCAGTGTTACAGAGAAGGAAAAGGAAATGTTAATTAGCTGATTCACTTCTCAAAGGGCTGAAACAACTGAAGCTAGACCAGTGAAGCCAGGAACCTGGAGCTTTTTTAGGTGCCTGGGCTCAAGGACCTGGGCCATCCTCTACTGTTTGCACAGGCTCATTATCAGAGAGCTGGACTGGAAGTGGATTAGCTGGGACACAAACTGGTACCCATATATGATACCAGTGCATATAGGTAGAGGATTAGCCTGTTGAGCCAATGCAGTGTCCCCAGCATCCATTTTTCTGTTTAGTACAGGTTGTGTCAGCCCCTATGAAAATAACTGACAAAGTGATTTTGAACTAACTCTCAAGGAATGTGCAATTCATTGGGTGAAATAAACAGGGGGAAAATGATGATATTAATGTGGAAACAATGGCCTTACCCACTTTTCTGTAGCCCTTGACCCTTTATACCCTAATCAACTATGTAAGAATATGAAAAAAAATTTTTTTTTGATAAGTGCATTGAGAGTTATTTCAAGAAAGGAGGGAAGTTATTTAGAATAATGTTTAAAGAATGACTGTTGTAGCTTCTGATACAAGAGGTATAGGCAATCTACTAGAACACAAATAAGGGAACAGAAGTGAAATTTAGAAGATGTATAGAAGAAATGGCAAGTAATAAATGCATAGAGCAAGTAGTTTATCGAATAAAAAGATTGGAGTCTAGGATGATAGTATTGAGCTTACAGCTAAATTTGAAGACATTGAAATTTAAGTTATGGATTTAAATTTTATTCAGAAGATACTGGAAAAACATTAATGTTTTATGTAGAATGAAGTGATACTAAAGAAAGGATGAAGTCAGAATATGTAAGGTGAGTTGTAAACATTTGTCATTACAGATTAAAAGTGGTAATTATGAATTTAATAGTGATGCAATTTACGCTGATGAGATTACATTCTGTCATTAGTATGATGCTGTCACTATATGGACATGTATTGTAATAGGGCTTTGTAATCAGAGAGCTGTATTTCAAACCTAGATCTGACTTTTAAGATAAGTCTTACTGTTAATAATAAATGATAATTATAGCACCTACCTTTTTTCAAAAGCTCTACCTATTTTTATTTGAAAGGCAGATTTACAGAGAGAGGTGAGAGAAAGAGAGCGAGCCCTTCCATCCACTAGTTCACTCCCTGATGGCCACAGTGGCTGGAGCTGAGCTAGTGCATAGCCAGAAGCCTGGCGCTTTCTCCAGGTCTGCCACTTGGATGCAGGGACTTAGGAACTTGGGCCATATTTTACTGCTTTCCCAAAGCATCTTATGAGGGAGGTGGATCAAAAGTGTAGCAGCCAGGACTCAAACTGGTGCTGGTATGGGATGCTGGCATTGCAGGTTGAGGCTTAACCTACTATGGAACAGTGCTGGTCCCAGGACCTAACCTGTTTGAGTATTACAAGATTTTGATGCACTGCTTTGTCTAAGATAAGCCTGACATAGATTAAGTAATGAGTTAATAATATTACAAAAATATTTAACATGTATTTTAAGAAAGAAGAGGATCAGAGCTTTAGTGTAGAAGGAAATGGCATCAGAAAAGCACTAGCAGTTTTATTTATATTTAGGAGGATGTAATTATAGGACAAAGTATATGATTTGGCTTTTTTTGGTTTTTTTATTTTGTTTTTATGCCTTTTATATAAAGTGAGCAAGCTTCACATGCTTCATTATATAGATTTAGCAGCACAGTGGTTCTTTCCATCCTATTCTCTGCCTGCCTACATTCCGCACCTACACTCCTCCTTCCTTTATTTATTGTTAACTTTCTTTTCTAATTTTTATAGTCACATACTCTCAACTCACTTTGCAATTATAGGCTTAACACTTGCATAGGTAAAGATATCCACACATAGCAAGTAGAAAAAAAAATTTTAAAGAGTATAAACAACTTGCAAATCTTTGAAAGCTGATCTCATATAAATTACATTTTGTGTGTGTGTGTGTTCTGAATGTTATCACAGATAAGGAAAAATTTGGGAGTGCATAATAGTTTCCAATTGTATTCATTTAGTTGCAGAAGACAAGATTTCATTCTTTTTTGTCCCTGAGAAATATTTCATAGTGCGTGGATGTCTATGTACACATATGGAGGCCCTATGTTCTTTATCCCCATCATCAGTTAATGGGCATCTGGTTGATTCCCTATCTTTGCTGCTGTGAATTGAGGGTATAGGTAACTTTAATATGCTGATTTAATTTTATGTGATAAAATCCCAGGAGTGGGATTGATGGGTCCTCTTTCCGGATACCTGAGGCATCATCTCCATATTGTCTCAATAGTGGTTGTACTAGTTTACATTCCCACCAACGGTGAATTAGTGTGCCTTTCCCGTCCTTCCCACCATCCTCACCAGCATTTATTGTTTTCTGATTTCTGTATAATAGACATCCTAACTAGGGTGAAGTGAAACCTCATTGTGGGTTTTTATTTATTTATTTTTGTAGGTGCCCATGTTATGGAATAGCAAGTTAGGCCTCTGTCTACCATGCCAGCATCCTGTATGGGTTGTGGCTGTTCCACTTCTGATCAAATTCCTTTACTAGTGCATCTGGGAGGGCAGTGGAAGATTGTCCAAGTGCTTGAGCTGCTGCTACCCACATGAGAGACCCAAAAGAAGTAATAGGCTCCTGACTTCTTACCAGTCCAGCTCTGGATTTTGCAGCTGGACCATTTGGGGAATGGACCAGCAGATGGAGAATTCTCTTTGTCTCTCCATCTCTCTGTGATGCTACATTTTATTTTATTTTTAAAGGTTGATTCATTTTTTATCCAAATGGCAGGTTTACAGGGAGAAGGAGAAACAGAGATCTTCCACCTGCTGGTTCACTTCCCAAATGGCCGCAATGGCTAGAGTTCAGCGCATCTAAAGCCAAAGGCTAGGAGCTTCCTCCAGGTCTCTCACAGGGATGCAGGGGTCTGAAGACTTGGACCAATCTCTGCTGCCTTGCCAGATCATACGCAGAAAACTGAATCAGCAGAGGATTAGCTTGCTACACTACTGTGCTGGCACCAGTGACTTTACCATTTTATGAAAAGCAGAAAAAAGAGAAAGGGAGAAAAGGAACGAGGAAGGGAGATACAAAAGAATGAGATCTTCCCATTGGTTCACTTTCCAGAGTACAGCAACAACCAAGGCCTGACCAGAACAAAGCCAGCTTTTTGGGTCTTCATGTAGAGAGCAGGTGCCCAGGCACTTAGGCCATCTTCTGCTGTGTTTTCCATGCCATTAGCAGGAGCTGGTTAGAAAACAGCAGTCAGGCATCAATGGGTGCCCATTTAGGATGCTGACTTTGCAGATGGCAGCTTTACCAATTATACTACAACACTGGCCCTAAATGATTTTATTTTTATGATGGTTAGTCTTGTGCTTATATGGCCTCCAGATGTACAGGACAGTATTCAGGGGAGATGTCAGTCTAATATCAACTGCTTGTATGTGGAGAAAACATGAATTTTTGCTATGTGGTGAACCTCAAAATATATCTGTTAATAAACAATAGCAGTGACCACATTTCACTTTTTTTCTAACCTTAGCAAAATCATTTACAATTTATGAAGAAGCTAGTTTGTGATTCATTAGAAGGCATCCAGAGAATCCCATGGATTCCTAAGTGGAGGAGCTACAAGCAAAACAAATGGGGAAATCAGGAATTAACACGAGTTCTATCTAGTTTGACCTGGTTGGAGAGTATGATATTGTCTTATTTTCTCTGGACTTGGGTTTCTGACTTCTCTCAGCAAACCAACTTTATTAATGACATTCCTAGCCCTCCACATTTTCTTAGATCAAGAAGTTTGATTATTTTTATCAATTATAAATACCTATTTGGAGAACTTGAGGATTCTACCCCTTCTTCAGTTAACAAGTTTTTACAGAACGGGCGTACAGCCTCCAGTTTACTAGTGAGACTGCTTAATGCTTGTGAGTGCAGATGTTTGGTTGATAGAAAAGAACGTAATTAGTTATTTAAACTAAGTATTTAAGATTTTAACTTTTAGTTAACCATGTAAGTTTGATTTATAATATTCCATCTAGAAATCTAGCACTTTTAATAACTACTATTAAAAACACTACCAATATATGACAAAGTTAATTAAGTTAAGCACCAACCTTTTTAGTTGTTATTCACAATTCAAAATATTTTAAATAACTCAATGTCATATTTAATATAATTGATTTTCTTTAAGAACACTAACAAGTTCCCAAATACTTGAAAGATTTCACTACTTTTACAGTCTGTATGCTTTTACAGTCTATATGCTATGTAAAAGTAATTTGCAACTAAACATCACAAATCTTGGTACCTTCTAAATTAGAATCTTAGGGCTAATGTCATATACTTTTATATGTCAATTATATTTACATTCTTGAATTAGGAAATGCTACACAGTTTGATCTGATGAGTATAAGAATTGCTTCCTAATCTCTGAAAAGTTGAAATTATTTTATAAGAAAACCGTAGAGCCCAATAAGGTATTGTTCAAAGGAATGAGTAGTTTAGACTCAGTAGGTGGTCAGTTCACAGTGCTAGGATGATGAACACATCAAGCTAAAATATTTTATTTACTACTTAATGTGTTAAGTAAGATAAATGCCAGCTACAGTGTTAAGTAAAATAAACCAACTTTGTATACTTGCAGTGAATATCAATTGAAATAGGATTTGGGAAAACACCTAACATATAGTATATAGCTAATGGTAGCTGTCTTATTGTTTGTTTTGAAACTCTTATATTTCTCCTAATTTTATTCTCAACTAAATAAAATACTATATTGTAATCAATATTAGAACACACACTGTACTTTTTTGTTCACTGTGTATAAAAAAGTACTAAAATATGTCTTTAAAAAAAGGTAAATTCAGTATATGTATATTTAATTCATAAATACTATGATATTGTAGAGGGACAGAAGGACACAGAGAATCTGGCCTGCCTTAATTATACAAGTTGTTAGTGGAGCCAAGCCTAGCTTTTATCAACTAGTATGATAGGATTTTTTAAACATACATACTTTTTACAAACATATAGTCACATAATGTGGAAATAGTTCTGTCATTTTAAAGATAATTTTCAATTATTTCAAATTTAAATAACATAAATGGAAAGTTGTAGTTATAGCACAAAAAACAAATTACATGAGTGTGTGTTGTACATACAGTAGGTTAAGTTACTACTTGAGATGCCTGCATCCCATATCACCATATCTAATGTAAGGTTCTGCTTCCATTTCCAATCCAGCTTTCTGCTAATGTACCTACAAGGCAACAGATAGTGGCCGAAGTGCTTGGGTTTCTGCCACCCATGAGGGAGACGCAGATGAAGTTTCTGGATCCCCGCTTTAACCTTGCCTGGTCCTACCCTTGTGGCCATTTGGAGAGTGAGCCAGCGGATGGACAGTCTCTCTGTGTTTCCCCTTTTCCACTCTCTCTGTCTTTCAAGTAAATGAGTAATTCATAATGAATGGAAAGTCATGGAAAAATGATTACTGAACATGTACATGAAGTTTCCATGATGATAAAGTCCTTTTTTTTTTTTATAGGGGCATTACTGTGGTGTGCCTTAATTGTGATTTACTAAGTGATGTTTCTGACTTAGATAATATGGCTACACATTTATGTCAACATGAAACTCACATTTGCCAAGTTGTAATGAAGAAAGGTATGTATATGCAATGCTATTTTGAATTTTTGGTATTTATTTTAATATTTTTGCTCAGCTATGATATAGGCTCTTTACTCATTACTGTCAGTCTTTATATTTCATATGCTGTTGTAAATGTAAAACTTTTCTTCTAATTTCAGTTTCTGTTTGTACCCCAACTTCTGAACATCTTTCTGAGTAAGTTTAATTTTTATTCAGTGCATTTTACTTTGAATGTAACATTATTGAGTTTTAAATGTACCATTAATAGGAATGGAAAATATTAAAGTCTTTTATTTTTTTTTTTCTCTAAAGCTGCTTGTTGAAATAGGTTCCTGCTCTGTGGAGCTCATGACCTGGTGCAAGACAAGTTGGAATTTCCTAAGTTCAAAGTTCTGAGATGTTTTCTTACACAAAGGCAGTTAAGCAGCCAGGTTTATAACACTAGCTCTCATTATTCAGCTCTTTTCAGCTTTCAAATGGGTCTAGATTCTTATTCTACCTAATCTGTGTCAGATTGTCATATCCTAACATGTCTTTTTTTTCTTCTAGTTGGCCACCTCTAAAAACCAACTTTTGTTGCTATAGTCTTTTATTTCTTTGTTTAAAATGATTTTCTTTTTTTGTTTTTCTCTGCTGTACTTGCCTGCAGAATAGTACATTCCAACTTATGTGGCTGTTTGTCTTTTTGTCTGTTCTGTCTGCTTTAATTTTTTATGTCTTAGTTTTTAGGCTAGATGCTTAGTTCTTTTCCTCATTCGTGTCTGTCATTGTGCTATTTTTCTTATTTTTCAGATGCAGAAGCAGCCCAGAGATTTCAAAAAATATCCAGGGTACACCTGGACAGTGTCCCCCTTCGATGGACACAACTGATGCCTGTTCTCTCTTTCCAAGGAATTTGAATAATTTGACAATGGGACCTGATCTAGGTTGTGACCTCAAGTTATCCCATCTTGGGCAGACTCCCTTCCATTGTGGCTGGCCTCCTGTAGGGCGGACCCTTGTTTGGCCAGAGAGAGCCTCGAAGCCCACCACTCTGAGCACAGTTCCCACTGGTGGCTTTGACTCATGACCTTAACCTAATGGGTCGGCTACAAAGCAAGCCCATCAAATCAATGCTTCAACATCCAAGTTGAAGTTTAATGATTTTGGCTGCTGCTCTTAAATCTTCCTCTAGCATGAGTGCAGTCCAAAGAAAACAAAAACTCCTGTTAATTGGGACCCAGTGGCTATTTTCCTGACTTTGGAATAACAGGTCTCTACAGTTAGTGTTCTTTATTTTTCTTTCATTAGAATATGTTACCCAGTATTAACTATAATGTTTTCAGTAATTCCAGTGCTAAGATTTTTCTTTATAATAGCTTAACTTTATGTTCTCTAAATTTATTGAAAGTTGTTTTTCTACTCCTTTTTTTAAAAAAACTTGATTGGTTGGTTTTGTTAAGAACTCCAAGAGATTTCTCTATGAAATTCATATAGTTTCTTATTTTTATCTTTTTAAGTTAATTGTTGCTCAGACCATTAGGCATTATTTTATCTTATCTTGGACTTATTTTTAACATAGCCTTAATAATTGAGTTGTAAAGTGTAAAGAAGTAACAAAACCTATTCTTGAAGATCTTAAAAAGCAACTTTAAAAGTTGCAGATTTGTGTAACTCAGACATAATATCTACAAAACCACTAATGTTCCTTTGGATAAAGTAATATGTTAAAATATGTGTATTATAAGCAGTAACACATGTGTTTCCTATATAAATTTTAAATTTGGCATGTTTTGATTACTTTGAATATGGATATACTAAATAGTTTTGATAATATTCTCTGTTAATAAAAGATTGTATTGTTTAAGTGCCTCAGGTATTATTTGCTACTGAGTAATTTCTTAATTCTTGAATATTAATTTCCAGGCAAGTGCCTTTTGTGATCTTAGTAGCCCTAGGATAAGCAGTCACTGAAATTATGACTCAATCATGCTAGCTATTTTTATATTAAAATAAAACTGCTTCCTTTCTGCTTTGGAACACAATTCAAAGCTAGTTTAAGTGACTTCTTACTGTGTAATGCATTCCTTGCAATTAATAATGAAAATTGAATCTATTAATTTTATATATCTAAACTAATTTACACAATAAATGAAAGATTTTCCAAAATATTCAAAATTTGTAGTAGTGGGTGAGCATGGTGATGTACTACTCTTTATTTTCTTCTCTGTATCTAGCAAGTTTTGTCAGTTTTTACCCAGAAAAAAACCATCTCTCAATTTGTAATCTTAGTTCTTTATTTGCAGATATTTGCTTTACCTTGATTACATAGTTTAAAATATAAGACATATTGGGGTACTACTTTATATTCTTCCCTAGGATTCTATTTTGTGGAGCATGTATCAAGTTCATCTTCTCTCTCTCTTTGTTAAAGTTTTATTTGTTTATTTTAAAGTCGGAGTTAAAGAGAGGGTAGGATAGACAGGGACATCTTCCAGGTCCTTGTGCCATCACCTGCTGCCTCTAGAGTTGTGTGTTACTAGGAAGCTGGAATCTGGAGTGAAGCTGGGACTCAAACCCAGTCATTGCAGTATGGGCTGTGGACCTTGCCAGCAGTATCTTAACCACTGCCATGTCAAACTCCTGGCCCAGAAGAACAGCTTCGAAATCAACTAGACCAAATTTGAAATCCTAGTTTTAGATATATTTAGGTCTGTTTGAGAAAATTACTTGACCTTGCTAAGCCTCAGCTTCCTTCTTTTTGAAAGTATGTAACAATTCCTTGTAGGGTAAACTGTAAGAAATACAGATAATACAAGAAAGTTAAATACTTAATTAAAATTATTTGGCATTGGCCTGACAAACTAGGCACCTGTTGACTTGACACTTTTGTTGTCACTGGTGCTTCAGCTGCTATTGCCTCTGTTGTTACTGCCCTTAAATCCGCTATAATTATTGCTAGCTGATAGCAGAACTTCCTGGGAACTATATGTTTGTGAGATTTCATTATCCTTATGAGTTTCAGTAGAAGTTCATTTACACTGTAGGCATTAGTAATTTTGATTTACAGTTGTTTTGTAAGAAAATTATGTAAACTTCTGGTTTCCAGTGTTTATTTGAATCTTACATAATCTCCTTAATGTCAAAATGAACTAATTTTTAAAAATCTGTCCAGAGACAATGAGACAACACGGTATGTTGAAAATTAGAACAGGACCTGGCATAATAGTCTCGTTGTTAAATCCTCACCTTGCATGAACCACGATCCTGTATGGTGCTAGTTCATATCTCACCAGCTCCACTTCCCATCCAGCTCCCTGCTTGTGGCCTGGGAAAGCAGTCGAGGACGGCCCAAAGCCTTGGGACCCTGCACCTGTATGGGAGTCCCGGAAGCTCCTGGATCCTGGCTTCATATTGGCTCAGCTCCAGCTCTGACAACCACTTGGAGAGTGAATTAGTGGACAGAAGATTTTTCTGTCTCTCCTTCTCTGTGAAATCTGATTTTCCAATTAAAACAAAATTAGAACCTAGTCCTCTCTGTTTAGAAGAAAAATGATTCTTTTTAGCCTACAGGGATCCTTTCTTTTAAGGAAAACATTTTGTTACTAGGAATTCATTTCTAGAAATCTTAGCTACTTACCTAGTTAGAGACACCATAATTCAGTTGTGAAAATTGCTGTTTTCGGTTTCCTTTTCCATTCATCCCCTCAGCCCATCTTCTACAGTGTATCTGGTTGGATAGGTTAATTCCAGAGTAATGATAAAACTTTTAAGTTTTTGGAAGGTTTTTTGTTACAATAACTTGAGACTTGAAAGATGATTCCCTTAGCATATCTACAGAGTAAGAATCTGGTGACTACGGTGTTACTCAAGTTTGAAAACTAGGCTATTGAACCTAGTTTTATGGATCACATGAAATGTTCTAGGGGTCACAATTTGAAGCAGCTTTAGAAAGCTGATAGAGTTCTTTGTGTGACTTCCACATTTGTTCTAAGTACAGTAAAAAGATTATTAACTAAGCTCAAGATATTACAATCAGGACCCAACTGTCTCACATACTTTGTTTAATATAGATGAGCAGTTAACTTTTGTAGAAGTAGAATACCAACCTTTTCTGTGTTTTATGTGAAAATATTATTTCAATTAAAATGTTCTGTTTTATAACCACGGAAAAAATATGTAAGGGAACATTCTATTATTTTCCTGTCATTCCAATATTTTTAATTTACTGGGAGGAATTATTTGATTTTAGTTATAATTCAGTTTATCAAGTTTTTTTCACCTCTCATCCTTAAATCAACTCTTTTCTTTTTAAAGATTTTTGTTTTTACTAGAAACGTTTACAGCGACAGGGAGAGACAGCGAGGAAAACTTTCCATCTTCTGGTTCACTCCCCAGATGGCTGCAGTGGCCTGAGCTGAACTGAGTTGATCTAAAAGCAGGAATCAGGATCTTCCTCTGGGTCTCCCACTCTGGTGCAGGGTCCCAAGTTTTTGGGCCATTCTCCATTGCCTTCTCAAGCCACAAGCAGGGAGCTGAATGGGAAGTAGAGCAGCAAGAACATGAACTGGATCCCATTTGGGGTACTGGCACTTGAAGGTTGGAGGGTTAGCCTGTTGAGAGACATGGCACTGGTCCCCAGTTTATCAAGTGTTGGGGTTCAAAATAAAATGTTTGTATGTTTAAGTTACCAGGAAACAAAAAAGTAACTGATCTAGTCTGTTACTTTATGTTGGGTTTATTTTCTTCTCTAAGCTTTTGAAATATGGGTGGGATTGAAGATTTTGGGAAATCTTGCACCTTATACTTACTTCCTACCATAGACATTAATATTTCAAATACATTTTAGGAACTTATTTTTTTTTCTTTTCAAACTAGATGTGAAACAGTTAGCACTGATAAGTAATTGCAAATCAGTAGGTAAATCAATAATAGAAGCTCCATCAAGATTTGGTGGTTTCTGGCAGGTTTGACATGTTTGAAGTGTGCTAAGCAGGGAAGAATGTTAAACCCAAAGAGATATGGGTGAAACTTCAGGGCTTTAAAGGTCAAACTCCAGACCTTTACCTGTGATTCTGAACTTAACACCACTGTTTCACATGCTGGGTCCTAAGGGTAGTTGCTTATACATTATAACTTATATGGGATATAATTCAATATTGTCAATAAAAGAAAAGAACATGATAGAGTTGTATCCTGTTTTTAAAATCTTCTGCTTTACTTTAATAGTCTTATTGTTTAAGAAAGAAACATTTCTAGATACCTTGTCTGTTATTACCTGATTGTGTCTTTGCTTTCTGGAATGGTTTTTTCTGCTTTATCTTTGCTTACTTAAGATGATCACGCCATAGTCATGTGTTTAGAAATAGGTAGATTATTTCCCATTACAGCAATTAAAACTGGCCTGTAAAGAGTAGATCAATCAAGGTGAATGTCTAATATACTGTGTTGTTATATTTCAAAGTGAGGCAGAAGCATGGCAAAAAATAAAATGGTAGAAGAATCTTGGACGTAAAAGGTTGCCCACTGTCAAGCAAATTCTGGCCATAAAGACTGATCACAGGGTTCAGCCATGGCAGTCATAATAACTAATATTTGTTGGCAACATATGAAGGAAATTAAAATTTTTTATGAAAAGGGAGTTAAAGAATTTTATTTTTACTAAAATATTTTAATTCCATGCATAGTTTCTTTTTTTCCTGCAATATACAGTTTCTGGGAACTTTTGACATGGCTATATATTTTGAAAATTTTTACGCTGAAATAAATTATTTTTTAATTCCACTTTGCAGAAATTTTTTATTGGAAAATCAGATATCTAGAGAGGAGGAGAGACAGAGAGGAAGATCTTCTGTCCGATGATTCACTCCCCAAGTGAGCTTTCCCAGGCCACAAGCAGGGAGCCAGATGGGAAGTGGAGCTGCCAGGATTAGAACTGGCGCCCAAATGGGATCCTGGCACGTTCAAGGTGAGGACTTTAGCCACTAGGCCACGCCGCCGGGCCCAAGGAGGATCTTTTGTCCAATGATTCACTCTGTGAGTGGCCGCAGTGGCCAGAACTGAGCTGATCCATAGCCATGAGCTTGAAGCCTCCTTTGGGTCTCCCACACTGGTGCAGGGTCCCAAGGTTTTCCCAGGCCACAAGCAGGGAGCTGGATTAGAACCAGTGCCCACATGGGACCCTGATGTGTGCAAGGCAAAGACTTTACCCACTAGGCTATTGCACCAGGACCCTCCCAGAAAGCTTTTGAAGTGCCCTTGTACTTCCTGCCTTGCTTATAGTTGGCTGAGTATGGGGTAGAAGTCCACTTTAACATGAATCTTTTAGCAGAAGTGTATACAGAATCTGACACAGTAGACTAAAATGATGATGTAGACTCCCAGTCTTACAGCAGTAATTCTCATGTGCAGGCAAGAGATTATTTGAGCAAAGAATGGCATATGTTGGTTTGTAGTAAGATTATTTGGAGATTTTTCCAAGGTGGAAACTGGTTCAAGCTGGGAAATGGAGATAAAAATAAAACTTTTTCACTTTTCACCAGTTGATGGTAATGTAATCTGATAGAAAAATCAGCTGTGATATAATAGAGTGGAAATTTGAAGTAGAATCCACACCTTTAATCCTGATTCTGTCCCTTAATTGCTTTATTACTTTTGTATTTTAGGCCTCATATTTTCTTGTCTACGTAATGGGGGCGAGTGATTTTAACTTTTTGTCATCTTCTAAAACCTTCCTTTGGAAAGAAACTGTACAATACTAATGTCTGTACAACTTGGTAACTGTTTAGCTCAGGAACCCTTTCCATGCAGAAATCTGTCAACACTTTTCTGAGAAAATGATCAGAAATTTCACACTGGATGTTTTACTGCTATTTCTTAGACTGATTAATACGGTCTTAAATTTAGTCCTTATGGACAGTGGTAGGGAATGTCTGACACCCCTAGACTGTAGAAGCCCTCTTAAATATTTGCTCTGGCTCGTGCAAGGCAACTGCAGGTGGGACTTGAAATTCAATCAGTTTATAGCAGGCTACTTTTTTATGTTGATACTTTTTATAGCTTGAAGTTATGCTGAAAATAGTCAAATAGCCTTGGCTGGAAAAAAAGAAAAAACAGGTTCCCCACTCCTAAATGAAAGGTCTTGAGAATTTGTTTACTACTGGTGGATTTCACAATTGCTTTTTATAATTTGTTTACAACTGCCCTTATAGTGAAAATTATTGTTTTTAAATCACTAAATTTTTGATTTTTGAATGTTACTGGAAACAATATGAGCTAATTGAAGTGAACCTAGATATTCTTACCCATTTGGTTTCTTTTCAGCTTTCATATTTTTTTTAATGTTATGGTGTGACTGAATCCTCAAAAACCATACAAGCATAATTGAATATTCACTCATGTTTAATTTTGTATTGGTTCTGTAATCTGTAAAAAAAAAAAGAGAGTAGTTAATTATTTTAGAGGGAAAGAATTTTCCTGTAGAAACATATCAAAAAGGACAACATAAAGGAAAACAGCTACTTATTTGGAGTTCTGATTGCTGTGGATGATGTTGATTTGAAATCGATAGCTGATAGCCCTTTTATTCTCTTTACATTGAAATCTTCATGTTTTTGCTAAATGCTACACGGCATTTTTCTTTAAAAAAAACAGTAACTTTCACAGATGAGAATGGTGGTTACCTAATGACATGTCATTAGCTCAGAACTTTGAGCTTAGCGGATTTCATGGTTTTTGCCAAAGTAGTTAAATGTTTCAAATGCTATTTCAACAGGCATCTTTAATGAATAGGAATTATAGGTAAGAAAATTATGTATTACTAGTTGTATTAAAAGTTATCAATCTTAAAATATACCTTTACTTAAAATAGATTATATGTTAGGACTGAGTTTATAACAACCAAATTATAATGTGCTTTTCTAGTTTCTTTGTTAAATTTGAATTTGTAAATGCTTTTACTGCGTATTGAAGTTAATCTCTTAAGAAGAATAAAAGTATGGACAAAGGCAAAAAATAAGATTGGGATTATATATCTCTTTAATTACTTATTTCAGTAAATCACTGTGCTCTCTCATCTAACTTCATTCAGATATTACTCCCTTTTTCCAAACTGAAATGCCAGCAATAATAGTTAAACATGCATAGTGGGTTTCACTATCATAACTGAATAAATGAATTTATTATTTATTACAGTTACATATGTGACGGTGATTAGTATGGTAATATTTCTTTTGTAAGGATGCTAAGTTTTACTTTGGTAGCATTTTTTAACAGGCTGAAAAAAATCTTTTATGAGATTTTGTTAAAATGCCTTGTGACCATTTTTTTATGGTTTTTCTAAGCTGAATTTAAAATAAGCACTTAGAAATAAGAATCAATTGTAATATATATTCTAAATAAATATAGTACATATATAGTCTTTATAAATACTTATAGTATAAACTTATAGTCTCTATAAATATAGTATAAATATAGTCTTTATAAATCCAATAGCTAGTTTTTGTTTCTTTAAGCTGGTTTTTCATATTTTCTTACTGCTTTATACGTCTTATCCTTAATACTATTATTATTTCACCAGTTCTTGAAAGCAATGAAATTGTACTGTATACTTGGGAGTTTCATCTTTACAAATATTGTCCACAAATAAATACTTGAGACAGTTACTGTATCTTTAACCCCCAAACATATTGACTTTTACTATTTTCTCAGTGTTTTGTGGTGGTTTTATTAATTTCAATGTAACAAATTAGTTATGTCATAAATCACTTCCAGTATAGTGATCAGAAAGAATATGATACATCTTAATTATGTGTAATTTTATGTAACAACAAAAATATAGACAAACAATAACTAGTAGTATGTAGTAAACTTAGCATTTTATGTTCGTGATGTTTTTAAATTTACCCACAGAGAATGGGTAAAAAGAAAATGTTTGCCAACTCCATATTGCATAGACTGGCCGTAAGGGTGGTTGACATTTCTTTCTTATTAGGTGTGTTCATTTTTGTCTGTGAGATTTAAGACAGTATGGTTGCTCCTTATGTTAAATAAAGTGTCCCTTGGCCATTTAGTCTTTCTACAGCTATGAATAACTCATGATTAATGGCATTTCAGATCAGGTAGGCATCCTGCTTGTGCAGATTAAGCGACTTGTGTAATATTAACCGACACATCTAGTCATCAACAATTTCTAACACAGAGAAATTGTGGAAAAGCTTGCTTTTAAGTTATTTTACAAGGTTTTCTAGATGGCATATGACCTTGTTAATTTTGCAATAAATTATAATTCACTTCAGAAAGCAAGATTTTAAGAATATAGTTAATATTTTTAAAATGCTATGGAGACTTTTAAGGAAATATATTTCTTGAAATTCTCAATTATTCCTTTGATTTCATTGCTTGCAGAATACATTAATTGTTATATATATATATATATATATTGAAGTGCCATTATTATATTGGGTTTCACATTAGTAAAATGCTTTCACTTTTTAAGTTTTACAATGGTAAAGACTGATGCACGTCATATTCATAAAGCATGTAACCTGTCATTATTTTCAGACTGTTCCAGTAAATGTGTTTTATATTTATTTTGAAACTTAACAAAGAGAATATTTCTTATTCTTGGTTTTTGAGAAAAAAATCTCTGTTGGCACATTTGTTGAAGCATTTAATTTCTACTTTAAAATATTTACAGTCAGTATTGTAGTTTAAAGTATGCGTTGGTTTAAGTAAATTTTTGTTGTCTTAAGCATGCAGCAAAACATTTTCTGTTTTATCATTGTTAAGTACAAGATAAAATATTCAGTGCTCATTTTATTTTTAAGATTAAAAAATGAAGCTCCCAGTAAGGAACGAGAACCTGAGGCTAAGGTAAAGTCTGCTTTATTTCATAGCTTGATGGTTTATACATTAGATTATTGGCATGATGTCTGAAATCCTAAGTTTCCATTTGTGTATATCTGTAGTAACTAATAGCATGGGGGCTGATGTGATGGCTCAGTGCATTAAGCCAGCATCCCATTTAGGTGCTGGTTCATTTTCAAGATGATCCACTTCTGACCCAGATCCCTGCTAATGCACCTGGGTAAATCAATGGAAGATGACTCAAGTGCTTAGTCCCCTGCCATCCTGGTGGGACACCCAGATAGTTTCAGGCTCTTGGCTTCAGCTAGACCTATCTCTGGTTGGTCTTACATTGCAACCATGTGGAGAGGAAAGCCAAGAACCAGGCACCAGTCTTAGTCTCCCAGATACATTCTCAGGAAGCTTCATCAGAAGCAGAGGAGCCAGGCACTCTGATACGGGCTGTGTGTATCCCAAATGGCCATTTAAACTGCAGCACCGTGACACCTGCTCCTGGATTCAACAGCTTCTGCTTTAGAAACTTATTTTAAGTAATTAAAAAAACTAAAAATATTTTTAGACTTAATTTCATTTTTATTTCTTCCAATACTCTTCATTTTCTTTATATTGTTGTTGCTATCATATTTCTTTTGCCTGCAGAATTTCCTTTGATATAATCTCATGTTGCAGATCTACTGGCAAAAGCCTTTTTTGTTTAAAAATATTTTGTCATTTCTAAAAATTATTTTTGTAGTTATAGATTTCTGGGTTGCCAGTTTTTGTTTTAGTTTTATTACTTGGGTAATTTAAAGAAATTTGTTGTTTACTCCCTCTGGGGTTCCAGTTTCATATATGTTAAACCATTTTATGTTTGTCATTTTTCTTAAATACCCTATTTTTGTTTCCAGACCTTTTCCCCACTCCTTTTTTTTTTTGTCTTTGTGTTTCAGTGTGGGTAATTTCTATGTCTTGACTTATTTTCAAATTTAGATTCGTTTTTCAGTTATGAACACACCAAAGGCATTTTTTTTTACTTATGATGGTTTTGAAAATATTTTTTTCTGGTATTTGCTTTGATTTTTATAGTTTCTAACCTTCTGCAAAAATTCCTATTCTGATGATACATATTGCTTATTGCCTACTTTTGCAACCAAAGCATTTAGTCTATTAGTCATAGGTAAAATTTTCTGTTTGATATTTCCAACATCTGAGTCATATTGGAGTCTGATTTTGCTGATTGCTTCTCTATTGAATTGCATTTTCCCCTTCTTCTGAGTGTTGTATAAAATGTAGTTAAAAACCAGACATTATTTAGGGCAAAGGTAAATTATTCCTTTTTATGGCAGAGTAGTATTCTGTAGTGTATATGTATCACATTTTAGTGTCTTGTCGTCAGTCCATGGGTGTCTTGGTTGGTTTCTCATCTTAGCTATTGTGCAGTGTGCTGTTGCAAATATGAAATTACAGATAACTCTCTCATATACAGATGTCATGTCTTTTGGATATAATTCCAGGAGTGGAGTGGTTGGGTCATATGGTAAATCTATTTTAAATATCTGAGCAATCTCCTTATTGTCTTCTAGAACAGTTGCCTTACTTTACTTAGCCACCAACAGTGGGTTAAGATATATTTTCCCCCACATTCATGCCAGAATTGATCGTTTCTTGATTTCTGTAATGATGGCCTTTCTCACTGGAGTTGGGTGGAACCTCATTGTGTTTTTGATTTGTATTTCCCTGGTAGCTAGAGAACTTGCATTGTTTCATATGTCTACTAGCCATTTGGATTTCATCTTTTTAGAAGTGTCCGTTAATGTCCTTTGCTCATTTCTTAACTGGATTGTTTGTTCTGCTTTGGGTATTTTTGCTTTGGTTGCCCATGTTTTTAGGGTCAGCCTACCCTGGAACTCTTGGCCTAGGTCAATATCTTGCAACACTACCCTTAGGATTTCTTCTGCTAGTTTGATGGTTTTAGGTCTTATGTTTAGACTCTGGATTTTGTACAGGATATTAGGTAAAAATTTCTAAAACCAGAACGTAAACATAAATAAAAAAGTAAGAAGATAATCCTGAAATAAATTTTAGTAATCTTTCATCATGGTTACCCATTTCTGAACAAAATTAAAAATTATTTTAGCAAAGCAAGGGCCAATTCAAGATCAAGATTAGGATTTTAGAGAATATGTTTCACATTATGGGCAAAGATATTCACAAGATGTATCTTCTTAAAAAATGTTCCAGTGCTGAATTGATTCATCATGTCTGGCATATTTATACCAAAGAATTATTGCCTCTTTTTTGTTGTTTCTGCTAATAATTTTAATGATACCATTTTAGAAAGTAATACTGTAGCTCAAAAATTATTTTAACTTGAAAGAATTTACACAGAATTTATCTCAAAAATCCCATATTTCATTATGATATTGTTTGAAAATGGAAATATTTTAAAAAATATATTCAAAGTGATATTTTAATAGATGATCCTTTACAGAATGTGACATGTGCAAATGATTTTTGATATTAGTATTTTTTTTAAAGATTTATTTTATTTTTATTGGAAAGGCGGATATACAGAGAGGAGACACAGAGAGGAAGATCTTCCATCCGATGATTCACTCCCCAAGTGAGCACAGTGGCCAATGCTATGCTGATCCGAAGTCAGGAGCCTCTTCCGGGTCTCCCACACGGGTGCAGGGTCCCAAAGCCTCCGGCCGTCCCCAACTGCTTTCCCGGGCCACAGGCAGGGAGCTAGATGGGAAGCGGGGCTCCTGGGATTAGAACCAGCGCCCATATGGGATCCCGGGCGTGCAAGACAAGGACCTTAACCACTGCGCCATCGCTCCGGGCCCTCTTTTAGTATTTTTGTGCAAAAATAATTTACCTCCTATAGAATCAAAAGAAATTGTTGGGAGGGGCCAGCATGTGGCATAATGGATAAAACCACGTCTGCAATGTTGGTGTTCTGCATGGGTGCCAGTTCCTATCCTGGCTGCTCCATTTCCAGTATAGATCCTTGCTAATGGCCTGAAAAAACAGTGGACCATGTGGGAGATCCAGATGTGGTTCCTGGCTCCTGGCTTCCACTTGGTGCACTTCTGGCCGTTGTAGCCATCTGGAGAGTAAATCAGCAGATGGATGGTATCTCTCTCAGTAACTCTTGCTTATAAATAAGTAAATGAATAAATGAATAAATAATAAGATTAATTTACAGAAATTATTGGGTATCTGAGTGCTTATATTTTTTCAAGTCAAATCCAGCTTTTCACTAATTATAAGAAGGAATTCATCTTGTCTGTAAAATCAAAAGCGATTTTGTAATGCAGTTGGTTAATCATATTAAATATGAAATGCTATTGGAAATAAAAATACTTTACTTATTGATTATAAACTGTATATTTGCAGTCACGAATAAATGATTATTACATATGGTTTCCTTAAAAACATGTCATAATAAAGAGAAAGCTTTACTGATCTGACAAACCAAAAACAAAACGATAATTGTATCAGTAAAACTTTTTAAAGCCAGTTATGATCTAGGTTATGAAATTATTAGTAAGTAGAAGAAGATGGCATTTACAGAAAAATTCTTTCAGCAAGGAATATGATCATCATTGAACATAGTAGATTTATGCCATAATGTATCAGCCAACATTTCATCCCTAAAATAATTATGGAAAAGTTGTGCTTTGCTTAGCTCATAATCATAATTTAAGATAAAAAAATTCATCTGTGATTTTAAGGATAGTATTCATTTTAATATTGTGTAAAGTATATATATATTTTTGGGACTAGGGGAAGTCAGTGAGCAAATGGAATATTTCATTCTAAAATTGACATTAAAGTCTGATGTTCATACCTGATGATCATTAAGATCAAATGCAATCAGGATGGCTTTGCACACAATGAAAGCTGTTTATCAGATATTAAGAAACAAAACATTAATAGCAAACAGCATGCTAAATTAGAATCCTTATATAAATAAATTACAATTTTCAATGCAAATTATTTTGATGGGTTGCTACTTTGAACCAAATACAAAATGTTTTATTAAGATTTTTTAAAGAGAAGAGACAGAGACATCTTCCATCAGGTGGTTTACTCCCCAAACGGCTGCAGTGGCTGAGCCTTCCAGGCTGAAGCCAGGAGCCAGGAAGTGTTCTCGGTGTGCTCATTTGGATGAATCATATCCTCAGGAGTTCTTTCTCTTCTCATCCCCAATGTGTCTAAAAGTACATTTACTTGAGTGATAACATGCAGATTATTAGAAGACAGTTTTCTCATGCCATTGCAAAATCAGTAGAGCAGCTTGTTTTTGATAGTGAAGAATACAGTGGTTACTAGTACAGTTTGGGTTTGATGCCATCTGCCTTGGTTTCTCTTAAGGTAACAGTAATTTTACTTACCACTACCTTTGTGCCAAGATTTGTGACCTCACATATCTCATTAAAGTGGTTAGGACTCCCGGGGAATCTGTGAGTAGCACTTTGAGTCTGCTGACATGGATTTGTGAGCTGTGAAACCACAATCAGCATGGGAATTGTTCACACTTTATTGTAGCAAAATCAGGTACTCAGCTAATTCTCAGATGAAGAAGGTACTGTCAAGTCATTGTGAGAAGCGTCTCTTGAGCCTGATGATTATCTCCAAAGAGAAGTTTTTGAAATTATAGCTAGAGATGCTAAGGTAGGGAATGAATTCCCTGGCTTCTGGGATTTGGGGAGCCTTGGACTTGTGACAGTTGTGTTTGTTCTCTGTATCGTGTGTGCGCTGTTTGCTGTTCCTGGTGTTCACAAGCCTGAGTTGTCTCTGGTTCACAATTCAAGAGTAAGGACCTGGTACAGGCACTGGGAGGGGAAACATTTAACTTCCTGTTAGGCCCTGCACTTCATTTTTACTTTTTATATATTGCATATGATACTAGGTTCCTGTTAATACCAGATGTCTTAGCTTCCCTTGCAGTACACCCCAGAACCCCTTCTGTGGACATTCCATTGTACTTTTCCTTCATACTGCTAAGACAGTTAATACTTCTCTAGCTACTTTTGCACAAAATATATATGATAGTGTTTTCTTGTCTTTAAGACTGAAAAATATTTTATTTCACTGCACTTATTTTAGCAGAGTTTTGAGAGGGTGAGGAGATAAATGCATGTGATTAATGCAAAATTCCAACTTCAAAGTCTTGAATCAATTTATTCAAGTAGTAAAAAGCTAGACTTTGGTTTGAATCTAACAGGTTTTCCTTGGGTTCTCTATTTGACCCACTTATTTTTTGTTTGTAAAAGTGGTGCTCATATTTTTTTATATAAAGATGATGTAAATCTTAATGTGTATATTTTTATATGTGAGTTTACAAATATGAATGCAATATGAGATAAGTTTTCTATATGCTTTATAGGTCATATGTGCTCTCTGTAGTGATTACAAAGTATTTAGGCTGACCTCTAACTTAGGTTTACATTGTTCTTCACTTTCTATAAAACATTTGAAATAAACAAAGTACTTCTTAGATTTTTATTGTGTCGTTGCCTTAGAGTGGAAGGGTTATCATAGCTTTAAAAATGGAACTGAAATTTCAGAAATGTTTTAACTTAGCGTCAGTACTTAAAGTGTTTATGTGAAATACTGTGGATGAATCTTGTTACTCATATCCAGATTATATTGTACTGTTTTTACTCAATTAATTATAATTATGGCCCACATATGAAGCACATGTTAAATAAAATAAATATTAATGTAACTGGTTAGTTGCTCATTGTAATTATTTGAAAAATTTTTGACACACTAGAAATCTTATAAATCCAAAATTCTTTTTACTCCTACTTTTATTTATGAGAATTATTCTAGTGTATAACCTTATCTTAAAATTTGTTTTTGTTTCTTTTACATATTGGATTGTACACTTTTTTCTTTTAGCCAGAAAGTTTAGTATAATAATTTTGCTTTAACTTGATCATGTAAAATGAAAGTGTAATTAATTATTTTTCAGGAAGTTACAAAACCTAATATGACTGAAGGACAAATACAAATATCACATGCAGAAAGGTAAGGAAAAAATTTTTGAAAATTTAAATATATAAAAATTATTTAATAACAAACTGGTAGGACTATTTCAGTCATTATATATATGACATTGCTTTCAATAATAACTTCTAATTAAAATTTTGAAAAATTTATATCAATATGTTCTTCAGATTCTTATTGTAGAGCACATTGTATAAGTTAATTTTTTTAAAGATACTTTAAAAGTTATAGTTGCACAGAGACAGATCTGCCTGTCAGTTCATCAAAATGTTTGTAACAGTCAGTGATGGGCCAAGCCTAAGCTAGGAGCCTGAAACTTCATCCAGATCTCCCATGCGGGTGGCAGAGAGCCAAGCACTTGGGCCATCTTTTGCTGTTTTCTCAGGCAGGAAGGGAACTGGGTTGTAAGTGGAGCAGCCAGGACTTGACTCAGTGCTCATACAGGTCACTGGCATCATAGCAGTAGCTTCATCTGCTGAGCCAATTCAAAGATCTCTCTCTCTCTTATACACACACACATATACACACACATATATACACACACACATATATATGTATACACACACACACACACACACACACACACACACACATATATATTCATTACTTATTTGAGGAACTGAGAGAATAGAGTGTTCTCATCCATAAGTTCATTTTCCAAATGTCTGCAGTATTGGAAACTAGGCCTCCCTTGTGGGTTGCAGGGATGCTGTTACTTGAGTCATCATCACTACATCCCTGGTCAGTACTGGCAGCAAGCTGAAGTTGAAACCTGCTGTTGTCATTTGGTATGCTGGGGTTTTAACCACTGGACTAATGCTCACTCCTTGTTAATTATTTTTTTTAAAATACTTGCAGGAAATATAATGTTCATAGGTTTTACATGCTACTATTAAATAAAAACAGTTATAAGAGGCTATAAATTTTAAAAATGGGAATAATTCCTGAAAATGTATAATTTTAAAATCTTTTAGTATTTTCAAAAGACTACAAAGCTACTTCTGTTGTAGGAGTTCAGTGTGAAAGTTTCAAAACACACAGATTGATTTTTAAAATGTGTATTCAACAAGACATTTTATAATGCCTTTAGCAAAAGAGAATACTAATATTTTAATTAGAACTTACTTCTAAAGATTTTGTCTTTTAAGTACTTCTTAGGCTTCAATGATAGAGTTATGTAGCTTTTTCTCCTCCTAGCATTTTTCTTAGAATTCTGGGGCAGAAAGGTAACTTTTTTAGGTAGAAAAGTAAATTCATCATCTATGTATTATTTTGCAGTTTTTGGTGAAATATCATTAGCCCAACATAATCTGAATAAAATTAAAATTATACATACTTGAAATGAAGAGAAATTATGACCTTAGCATATATTAAATGCATAAAGTTGACTAGCAATGAGCTAAGACTTAGTGAAATTAATAAGAATATTAAGGTAACTTGTTATAATAACCAGAATGTTTCTGATATACCAATAATGTATGATTAATAAATGCAATGGGTAGGGGGCAGGTGTTGTGGCAACAGGTTAAGCCTGCACTTGAGATGTCCGTCCCATGTTTGGAGCACCTGAGTCAAGTTCACACTATTCCACACTTGGACCATTTCCAGATTTTTGAGGCGTATGTTTATATTTTTTAATTAAGCTATTGAAAGTTAGGGAAAAGGGGCTGGTGCCAATGGTGTAGTAGGCTAAGCCTCCACCTGTATCATTGGCATCTCAAATGGGCACTATTTCCTGCTCCAACTGCTTCATTTCTGACTCAGCTTCCTGCTTGTGGCCTGGGAAAGCAGCTCAAGTCCTTGGGCCCCTGCACCCTCATGGAAGACCTGGAAGAAGTTCTGTTGCTGAGGTCATTTGGGGAGTGAACTAGCAAGTAGAAGATCTTTCTGTCTGTAACTCTGACTTTCAAAAAAAAATTTTTATGTTAGGGAAATATTTGTGAATGTTCATCTTGGTTTTTATAAGAAAAGATATTCTAAACATAAGATGATATATAAATCATAAAAAAAGTCCTTTCCAAACATTTCTGGTTTTATGTAGTCTTATGGATAATTAAGAATGCTTAAATTACATTTATCAGCCAGCAAAAGATGTGAACAAATGGAAATAATAACAGCCAAGACTAAAACCAGTTTATAGATGTGACTCATTTCTCACAATCTTGCCAGAAAACATGGGCTTTCCCTACATTGTGATGGCATTTGTTGGAACCTTAGTTTTCTTTCCCTTTTTGATGGACAAATGTTCCTTTACTTCTTTCAATTTTTGGAGAATGTCTCTATTTAAAACTGTACAGATACATTGTTTTTGAATAAATATCTAATAAATGACTTCTTTCCCCCAGAAAACATGATAAAGCTTCTTCAGAAGAAAAAAATGAATGTAATGCAAATTTATGTGAAGATTCGTCAGCAGCAAAAAGTGAAGAAAGCCTCACAGTTTCAGATAAGGAAAATGATCCTTGTCTTACAGACCGGGAAATTGACTCAAAGACTGTCTCCAATTATGATTCAAATACTAGTACAGATGAAATGGAAAAGGAAAAACAAGTACAGCCTGTTTGTCAGGAAGCAGAACTGAAGAAATGCACAGATTCAGAAAAGGTAGTTTCATGTGATCAGAAGGAAGATCTTCACTCCAATGAAGCTAGTTCTTCAAAGAATATTAAGGATCTGCGCCTGGCATCTGGTGATGTTACTATTGATCTGTTTCTGAGAAAAAGAGATGAGCCTAAATCTGTTAGTTCTGATGTCAGTGAGCAAGGCAGTGTTCGTTTGGAGCCGTTGACTCCATCAGAGGTACTGGAGTTTGAAGCTACAGAAATTCTTCAGAAAGGTAATGGTGATCCTGCTGCTAACCCTGAGGAAAGCGTGTCTGAAACAGATGACATTCCTGGAGGAAATAGTCCCGGCACCACAGAGACCACAGTAGACCTGGCAGATGAAAGAGAAAAAAGTTGAAATTAGTCTAAGTTTCAGTGTCCCAGTGGAAAGAGCATTTGCAGCAGCTTATCAGGTGAGCTCAGTGGCGCTGCAGTGGAGATCAGAAGCAGAAATGTGAAGGAGGTCTTTCCTGCACTTCACCCATCTGTTCAACTTAAGCAATAAACCGGCCAGTCCACCGATGTTACCTTGATTAGGATGGCTTTCCAGGTTTCTAAAGACATGAATAGTGTGTTCATGAAGGTTAGGTTTGCAGTGGGAAGCTGTCGATTTAACAGTTTGTGAGGAAGTAGGACTTGGTTGCCATATGAATTTATTAAAAGAATTCTGGCCACATTAGCAATTTTCATCAGTTCTAAGCAGAAAGTTATTATTGCCTGTATATCCTTTTCAGTTAAAGGCAGAGATTTGAGAGCGTGCACCCTTTGGGAAACAGTAGATTTAAAGTAAAGGCTGATTGGCATTGTTAATGAAGGCCTTGTTTTGAACATCATGCTGGTAAACAGAGCATGCTTAGAGTGTTAAATTGACCTGATGAGAACTTGGGTGAACATAAACTTAATTTTGATTTTAATTTAACATTCCAGTCTGTCAGAAGCATGTAAGCAGAATATTTGGATCTATGTACCTCCATACAAGTGTTAGCCTATCAGGCTGTAAGCTTACCTTGAAATAAACTTTCAGTGAAAGTAAAATTATTAAAATATAACTTTATATTTGTGCTTTTTGTCAGTGAGTAAGCTGTGCAGAAATCCCATGTAGTAGAAACCTATTGTTGAAACTCCTGTAGTTATTATGCTTTTAATATTGTTTTGAAGAATTTTAGAAATAGGCCCATAAAAAAGGTCTGGAAGCCAAAGCAAAGTCTGGTATAATGTAGATATTATAAAGCAGTAAACTGAAAACATGTCTGGGCATGGATTCAGCTATGTTTAATTGACTTTTCTTTGACTGTAAAATAATAACTTCAAATGGGACCTAATTTGGTGATGTAAAAATTGGTTTTGGGAATTGAGCCTGTTTGTCCATAAGATGGCTGTTACATTGATTTTTTCCATTTTTTTATCATCTAGAAAATAAATAATAGATACAGAAATAATATGAAAACCAGTAGTTTGTTCTGAAGTACTAATAAGCTTTTATTTAAAAAGCTACATTTTAACTTCTTAAAATGTGCTTTAAATCCCTAGATTTTGTTTCACTGAATGTTAAATGTTTTAAATGGCTATTAAAATTCTGCTGTATATAGTAGTTTTTGAGTAAATGTTTGCAATAAAAATTTGTCTCTGAATAATTTTTTTTTTCAAATCACTGCTTGATTCAGATTACCTTTGGTGCCTATTGAATTTATATACTGTTCAAAGAAATTTCATGTTAAAGATACTGGTAAGACTTTATTCCATATTTTTAAACTGATATATGTGATTTATTTTAAACTAGGATTAAAAGTATAGTAATATTGCTAATAAGGAGGGTAGATTTGCTTTTCTTGCATTTCAAAAGACATGCAATTTAATATAATTTTCCAGCTATTAGACAACCTAAAAGAATGAAACAGACAAAACATGTTACTGAATTTTTTCAGTATTTTGAAAGAGGCAAACATTTTCATTTTTCCTGACCTTAAGAAAAGATAGGGAGAGGGGGTCCCATTAGCTGTCATTCATCATGTTGAAGCCTAAGTCTGTAACAGGGAAAGGGTTTGCAATAATATAAACCTTAGAAAAGCAGAGTAGAAAGAAAATCTGTGTGAAGAATACTTCCTGAGAATACCATTCAGTTTGTTGCCAAGACCATGATCTTAACAAAATTCTAGAACACACTGAGTGGCACCATGCTTCGTTTTGGAAGTCTGGGCAGTTCTTGTACCTTGCCCCATGTAGAGTGAAAGTAGCTGATCACTCAACTATTTGCATCTGTCCACTGAAAAAGAAGGATATGTCCTTCATTGAGAAAGTCTGGCAATAAAAACAAAAAAAGAATTGAAATATTGTAAGAGAGTGTCTGAAAAAGGTTTTGGAAAAACTGGAATTAAAAAGTTTATTTTGATGCAGATATTTTTGAAACCTATTTTTTCATAATGCATATTTTTATGAAGGTTTTGAAGAGCCTGCTTACTTGCTAACAGAGGTGATTTGCATTCTCATACTGTCTGTCTTGGCTCTAGTTAGGAACTAACAATTCAAATATGCAAACCAAGCCTTTAAGTAGCAGTACATAGCAGAGGATAGCAAACCTGTTCCCTACAGAACCTGGTAGTAAATGATGGGCCATGTCGTTCTAGTTACTCAATTCTGCCTTGTTATCATGAAAAGCATTGGAGATAATATGTAAGTAGTTTGTTCCAATAAAATTTCTATTTACTAAAACATGATGTTGCTTGGATTTGGCCATAGACCGTAGTTTTCCTAAGCCTTCTTTCATGCTTAGGTTCTCCCTTTCTCTCTCTCTTTCTCTCTCTCTCTCTTTCTTCTTTTAATTTATTTGACAGAGAGCTGTCATCTGCTGGTCTACCTCCAAATACCAATGATGACAGGGTGAGGTTGGACCACAAAGTCAGTAGTTGAGTGCTAGCACCCAATGTGTATGGCAGTCAATTCAGACATCACTGCTGCCTCCCCTAGCCTGCTTAGTAAGATGCTAAAGTCAGGAGCGAGAGCTGGGACTCAGATATAGGTACCAATATGGGATACAGGTGTCTTCACTGGGATTTTAATTATCAAAAAGCTGCCACTAGATTCTTTTTGCTACACATGTGAAGGCCTGTTCATGTATTCCCATGAGCCCAGGGTGAGTAGTCTGTGCAGGGATGTTGCATACGATGTGAGTCCCTGGATTTAACCCTTGGCCCCTTTTCCAGTGTCAGATGCCTGCTGATGCAGATCCTGGGAATCAGCAGTGATGGCTCATGTAATTGGCTCCTACAACACGTACTGGGTTCCTAGCTCCCAGCTTCAGCCTGGCCTAGCCCTGCTCCAGCTGCTGTAGGCAGTTGGGAAGTGAACCGCAAATGGGAGATCTTTATACTCCTCCTGTGCCTTTGAAACAAATAAGTAAAAAGAAAAAGATATTATTATCCAAGATGATTTTAGTATGTTAATAGCTTTCTGTTACATAATGGATAGGACTTATGATAAGTACACTTTGATGATGTTTTGAAGGATATTTGTTTATAAAGTATAGTTTTTTGGTTAATACTGAGAATTTGGATATCATTTTCTTGTGTTGTTTTTTTAACCCTTGTATCTCATTGAATTATGAGCCAGAAATTATAATTTTTTCCATCCATTAATTTTAAAATACTAAAGATTTGTTAAAAGAAATTAACAAGAATAAGTCACTTTGCCTTGGGTATAAGAAAAAATATTAGGCAAGCAAACATCTGAGACATTAGTTTTTAGTGTTATAGTCTGAACCAAATTTGATCTGAGTCTAATGTTAATGTTTTTTTATCATACCTATACTTTCCAGCATTTGTATTGAGTAGCTACTTTAAAGAAATAACTATTTTTTGCTAAAAACTCTCTTATTGATGATATTATAGTTTTATGTATTATCCCTTTGGTGACTATATGCATATGGAATGAAGAATACAATGATACCTTAAGTGGAAAGAAAATGGGCCTAGTTTCTTCTTTTTTGAGCAAAATTATTTTTGTTTTATTTGAAAGTCAGACAGACATAGATCTTCCATCTGCTGGTTCTTTTCCAAAGGGCTGCAGTGGCTGGACTGGGCCAAAGGCAGAAGCCTCAGCTCTTACTGCACCTGCCACATGAGCAGCAAGGACCCAAGTGCTTGAACAATTACCTTGTGCCTTTTGGGGAATGCATAAACAGAAACCTCTACCAATGGGATGCAAGTGTCCCATGCATCAGCCTGACTACTGTGCCAAATGTCCACCCCTCTCTTTTATTAAGAACTGACAGCCTTTATTTTAGGAGGTGTTGGTGAAACCATTTTATTCACAGAAAAAAAAAAAAACCACGTGATTTGAACATATATTTCATATAAGTTATTGGAGTTTTAAAATTATTATAGTTTTGTAGGTTTCACCTATGTCATCATTTGATTTTTCATGTTTTTGTTCCTTCGAAGTTGTCACTCCAAGACCGGTTACTTGTACTGATTGTAATGAAATAAAGCTTTTTAAAAAAAAGATTTATTCATTTTTATTGCAAAGTCAGATATACAGAAAGGAGGAGAGACAGAAAGGAAGATCTTCTGTCCAATGATTCATTCCCCAAACGACCACAATGGCCGGTGCTGTGCCGATCGAAAGCAAGGAGCCTCAAGCCTCTTCCGGGTCTCCCACGCTGGTGCAGGGTCCCAAGGCTTTGGGCCGTCCTCGACTACTTTCCCAGGCCACAAGCAGGGAGCTGGACAGGAAGTGGAACTGCCAGGATTAGAACCGGCGCCCATATGGGATCAAGGCACGTTCAAGGTGAGGACTTTAGCCGCTAGGCCACAGCGCTGGGCCCGAAATAGAACTTTTTATATGTATTTGCTACATTATTGTAAAGCTAAGACTTGTTTGTTTGACTATGAAATGAAACAATTTACCCATATTTAAGCTTTCAAAAAGAAATTTTTAATTTTTAAAGTATTTTTTCATATCTACAAAATGGATAGTGAAATAGGTTTTTAAAATACATGGCAGTATTTAAGTAAATAGCCTTTTCAGTGAAAAACTTCTAAGTTTAAAGTTTTTAAGTCTTTATACACTGCCTTTAAAACCTTTCAAATGTTCTGTGTCCGAGATTAGCAAGCTGTTACCTTCAGATGTTCATCTGTTTTTAAAAAAGATTGTTTTTTAAGATTTTATGTATTTATCTGCAAGGAAGAGTTACACAGAGAGAGTGACAGAGAAAAAGATCTTCCGGACCCAGCGCAATAGCCTAGTGGTTAAAGTCCTCGCCTTGCATGCACCGGGATCCCATATGGTCGCTGGTTCTAATCCTAGCTGCCCCACTTCCCATCCAGCTCCCTGCTTGTGGCCTGGGAAAGTAGTCCAGGATGGCCCAAAGCCTTGGGATCCTGCACCTGTGTGGGAGACCTGGAAGAGGCTCCTGGCTCCTGGTTTCAGATTGGCTCAGCTCCAGCCATTGCGCTCACTTGGGGAGTAAACCATTGGACGGAAGATCTTCCTCTCAGTCTCTCCTCCTCTCTGTATATCTACCTTTCCAATAAAAATAAATAAATCTTAAAAAAAAAAAAGATCTTCCATCTGTTGGTTTGCTTCCCAAATGGGCATGATATTTGAAGCTGTGCTGGTCTGAAACCAAGAGCTTTGTCCAAGTCTCCCACATGGATGCAGGGGCTCAAGCACTTGGGCCATCCTGTGCTACTTTTCCAGACTGCTTCTCGCAAACAGCAGATTAATAAATCTTTAATTCTCTGAGGGTATAACAAACTTTCCTTAATTCCATAATTTTCACCACCACTTAATTTAAAAATACCATGTATTATTTTAAGAGGTTTTTTTTTCTGAAAATATGTCAATCTGACAGTATAAATATGAACTTTTTAAAATTTAAAAACTATTTTCAACCTAATAAATTTCACACTTAAGACTCTAGTACAGGTAACAAAGAATGTGAACCACAATAAATAACCAATAGTGAAAATAAAAAGGTTATAAAATGGAATGTCCTATCTAAAAACAGAGTATGAATTGGCCATCTTTTTCTTAAAGGTTCCTATTACAGAGTGGGCATTTGGTCTTCAGTTAGGATGTGAGCGTCGCATATCCAACTCTCTGACTTCATTGCCTAGCTCCGCTCCGGATATGCACCTGCTGATACCCACTCTGGGAGGCAGCTATGATTGCAACCTGACTGGGCTTTCATCACCTGGGTTTGCAGCTACCTTCAACTTCCATGATGTTGGACTCATTGCTTCTAAGACTCCTGAACTTTTCTAGAACTCATAGGGTTATTTGAGTTCCATCAGCTTTTATATGTTTCCATACTTGAAGTTGTCACCAGAAGTCTGTCAAAAGTATCTAATTGACTCTTACTAGGGTCCTTTCAAGTTAGGTTAGAAGGAGAGCCAGTAGTGTTTCTTTTTCAGATTCCCTTCCAATGTTTCTTGGGAAATACATGTATTTTACAAGTCTCAAGACTATTCAGGTAAGACATTGCTGAAAGAATAGAAGGTATTGTAACTTAGCTGAGATTAAAGCATATTAACTAACAGAGGGATTTATGATTTGATGAAATATACTGAGGTCAAGCCGAGTAGCAAGAGCAGAAATGCTGGCACATGGAGTTTAAGGGTAAGATTAATGTTTCCAC